CCCATTGCCCATCATTGAAGGTTATTTTTCATGGGGTGCCAGAGACTCCAGGACCTGAGCCGTCACTTCGTGACCTCGTGGCCTGGAGTCTCTGTCGTGGCCTCTGTCTCGGTCGAGTGTGACAGACCGAGATCTGAGTCGGTCACTCGGTCCTGGTTGACATGGCTAGCTGTATGAGTTACACAAGGTCTTTGAGCATTGACTTTCAAGCCATGAAAGTAAAAAAGGCATGATCACCCTCCCCCATCCCCAAGAAAACTGGCACTTTGTTTTTGTTTATTTCTTGTCAAAAGAACTATCTAGCTAAGCGTGCAGCGTGCTTATCACCAGTAAATCGTGATGGTTGTGCACCGCGCGGCACGTTTGTCTTCAACTCCTCCTGCCAGGAGACCTTTGCTGCTTCTGACTGCATGGCTTGCCTCGGAAATGATGAAAGGGTCGAAAGGCCGACAGCTGGTCATAAAAGGGATGGCTTTTAGTCTCTAAGTGAGTGGATCATGGGCACCCCTATCCTCCAAGTTCGGCACCCCTTTGTGACTCCCGTCAAAAAACAACACATAGCTTCTTAGTGACTTCTCAGTGGGATACATTTCGGCCGGGCCCTGAAATGCATGGGCTTCTTCTTGTTGGCTCAGTCGCGCTGTTTCACAGCAGCTGGAGTGCTTGGTGCTTTGACAGTTGACCGTGGCATTGATGGAGCAACTCCACCAAGGGTGGATACTCTGAGGAACACAACGGAGTTGCCATGGCCGCTGTGCGTTCCGTGTTCATCGCCGCTTAAAAACGACCGCTTTTTCCATCACAAAACGGAGTCCTGGAGTGGAGTGGGAGTACCATGTGTGGATCAAGCCCCACAAACTCACATTTATCCCTGCAACAGTGCAACAGGCTAGACTCCATCAGACCCAAAACCAAGACAAACCACTCCAAAAAGCACCAGAATCGACCCAAACCCTCCTCCCTCACATCCCTGCCAGAATTCAGGCCCTTGTCCACCTTCATCCCATGTTTCAGTTTTGGTTGAAAGGCCCAGGCACACTCCCACGCTTCGCCTGGATCCGTATGACGCTTGTAACGGCCTTCCAACTGCCCTGCACCATTCCACTGCGGCGCCAGCACAGAGCCGCAAATGGGGCACACGTAAGCCTTGGTGAGACAACTTGCGGACTCGTGGATGAGTACTTACAAGGTACCTACCAGCTTTGCTGGAATAAGCTGAACATCCGCCTTGAAACAGGGCCCTGGGTATACTTGGCAGGAATGTCGGTGTCTTTATTTTCTATGTTTGTTCCTTCAGTTGTGCGTCTGTGTCTGTTTCTTGCTTTGAAAGTGGGTGAGATGTGGCCATCACAATCACCTTCTTTTGGAGGGCCAACGACATGCTAACATCTTTATGGTCAATAAAAGCTGTTTGTCTACAAAACGACCCCCCCATTTTTGGGCCAAAAGCTGTTCTGCTATAAAATGGATGTCTTATACAGGTCCCAAGACCTCCCATTTTGTAGGGGAGGTGACTCGAGGCAAGTACCAGGTACCATTCCACTTGTGTTCAGCCACTCAACCCCTGTCCAGTCGTGCCAATCGATCTGGCCTTGGAGTGTTCCAAGCGGTCAGCCTAAGGGACCCCCTGGATGAACAAAAGAATTCTTCAGTTCCACCCACTCAACCTTTGGCAACATCGGGCACCACACAGAGTAGTATTCCCTGGTGAAGGAGCTTCCACCCGGTTCCCCCCTTTCTGGCAGATCAACCCAAAATGCTCACCAAACATGAAAAGGTTTGTCATGTGTCGTCACCTAAAATATCAAAAACAGCATCTTTATCAACATCCATTTGGAAGTTCACAAGTCAGCCTAGTTAGTTGAAAGAAGCCCCTGGCCAGAAACAAGAACGACGGGCAAGCACGACCCAAAGATGAACCAAGCATAGACTTGCTATGATACTGCTATGTTTTTTCACCTGGAGTTATGTACTACATACCTCCCTTTGTTCACCAGCTCTTCAGCTTCACATCTCCGTCTAAACCACGGTGTCCCTCATTCACTCCCGGCGGCCACGTCATAATCGGAACTGCGCATCAGTCGATCGTGCAAGAGAAAGGAGGTCCCATGCGCCAAGAGCGAGTCCCGTTCCATCTCTCCAAAGCCTGCCAGCTTCGCGAACCCGGCCTACCAAACACCCAAAGCCACCACAAAGTTTTCTTCTGCACGGGTCATCTTAAAGTCCTTATGGTTCCCTATGGATCCACATACCCAACCTGAGGTGATTTGATTGGAGTCTTTAGGCAGGCGCCTGGGTCGGGCCCAGTCATACCTTCTTGGAAGGTGGCAGTGGATCCATACATGGGTTATGCATTGTACCGTTTTGCGTGTCCTTTCGTCGCCACCCCCGGATGTGATGTGCCGGGTTTGGAACACGGCAGACCGACACATCCACGACGCTCGACGCTCGATTGCAATCCCTGACGATGCGATAAACAGTGAAACATGACACGAAGACCGAAGATATGATATGTAAAAACGAAAAACTCTGACGAGCACGTCTTCTTTATATATATATATACATACATGTTCTCAAATCGTCTCAAATGGTTTTACCCGCAGTCTCAAGGCTCTCAATGTTCATGTGACATTGCAACATTGCAAATCATTTATGTCTCAGGCGTAGGTCTGTGCCCATCTTCAAACCCTTTGCAAATGATCGCAAACTCACGACACACGCCAAGGATTTGCTGGTGGAAGGAAGCTGGGAAAACAAAATCTAGCCGGGAACATAAACAGTCAGTCTTTTGTTCACAAAAAAACATGTTCTATTATAGGTATATATCCACGAGTGATGATCTCATTCAGTCCCCTTCCCTGTATTGGGTGGGGATGATGATGCTTATGTACAGACTCCGAGATCTCAAACAAATAATGTCATCATCTTTTCACGGGCCGACTGTCTACGGGCCGACTGTCTACGGGTTGACCGAAAAATAGAAAAAAACACAGCACGACATCTTGGTCTTCCAAGTGGCGGATGCCACCCTTGTTCTTCCGCCCCTTGACCTGAATCTAACGCAACAACCGGGATCCAATGCAACTTGTTTGGCACGCATGGTTTTGCCAAACAACTTTGCGTGCGGGTGCGTACGTACGCAGAGTAGAGTTTACGGTGCCTGCCGATGTAGTTCAAAAAATGGACCCACTCTATAAGATCTATAGAAAGATGGTAAACATGTGGTAAACTGGGAAATGCTGTGGTAAAGTGGTAAAGGATCAGACAAGATGTTTCCACAAGGGCTGGACATGTTTAGAGGCAATATCTCCTTGCAAGTCCAGTCTGACCCAGGTCCAAACCTGGTCTTTTACATAATCCTTAAATATTGTTTTTATATGACTCCAGTAAAATAAGGTCCAACTGACTTGTAGGGTCGATGTCCTCATGCCCCCCAAGAAAGACATGGCGGTTGATTGGAGCAGGTCTTTGGCTCTGCAAGACGTGTGCAGCTCTGCCACATGCTGCCACCGGCGGAGCATCAGCCGCAGCAAGAAGTTTCATGACAACAATGACAACATGTGATGGCGATGATAACTTGATAACAACAAACAACAACCTAGAAACACGGTCACAACCGAAAACGAGTGGATGTTTACCCAGTCCCAGCCCCTTCCTATATACAGTATGTAAGAAGGACCTCAATTGCAAGATTGGAACAAGCACTTGTTTCTGGTTGGTAGGTTTCCAGCAAGAACAAAAACAAGAGCAACAACACCGTGTGACCACAGTTACAGCCACCGATCGAGCCCAGCGCAATGTTTCACTAAGCACTCGTCAAATGTTGAATCAGCGCAAATGATCTTGATCTTTCTTAGTTTGCCGCCCAGTGGCCGGCTGCCGAGTGAGGGGATCCACACGTCCTAGGAGAGGTCGGAGAAAACGCGAGGAAGAGACCATTGAAATGGGGGACCTCAAATTCCCACCTTGGAACATGGAAGATAACGACTCCCAAGCTCGCAGCAAATACTTTAGAGATCTCTGGAGACTCTTTAGGTCTAGGTGGATTGTAGTACTCACTCGTTAAAAGGGGTGAATGGTCCATCCAGGATGCAACACGACCCTTGCGATGCTTGGTTGGGTGATTCTTCACACAGAAGTCTGTCATGCTTGAGAAGGTACAAGTAAACCTCTCTGGGGTCCAAGTGATCCATGAATGGATTTGAGTGACAACCTTTGAACCACAACATCAGAGAGTCCTCACCAGGAACAGCCTGGAACCCTTGGGCCAGGGCCATGTTGGCCTCTCTTCTTTTTCAAAGGTCTCTGCTCGAACACTGCCTGGATCAGGTGTTTTTGTATGTTTTTGTGTTTTTTTGCATTGTTATTGTTTTCAATTACAAGCAAGAGCGTTCCCATTTCCACTCGACTACCATCGACAATGGCTGTAAACCGACACGTCGGGGAGCCACAAAAGTGTGGCAGTCTCAGTGGTCAATGACTCGAGATGGCCTTGGGTAACTAAACATTGATTGACTGACCTCTGTGTTCCTGGTGTTTCCACCTGTTGGAATGTTTTAATTCTATAGTGGGAAAACCAATCCTCCAAAGAGGTCTGGAAGGTTATCCGGTCATCCACGTACTTCTTGGGTATGGTGAAAGAGGTTTGGACCCACCCTGCCTCTCCAACGACCTAAATAAAGACCTGGTCCTTGACATTGTTGTCTTAAATGCTAGTAAAAAAGGATTAAATAAGGGCAGGATGAGGCTTCATATGTTGGGTATATAATATCGCTGTAACTCCCATTGCCACAAGGGCCCATTCTGCAAGACCGTTTATCAGGCCCCTCACAGAGGGAGGGCCGTTGGATTTGCTCGGGGCCCAAGACAAAACGGGCAACCCGCCTCCAAGCACTACAATCCTGAAAACTAACGTGGACCTTGAAAATGGCACCCTCAAAGACCAGTCTCCTTTATAAACCAGTGGTTTTTCGGATCTAGCATGGTCTAGCTGTTAGTCTTCAGTGGGTGCCCTCAGTTTTCAGTGGTTCCCCGGTCGAACTCATCCCGTCCAAGCGTCCTCGCGATCTCACCTGCGCCTTGTCCATGACCAAATGCCGAAGGCGCTGGTAATAGACGACGCCAATGAAGATGTCGGTCTCGATCTCAGTGCCTTGGAACCGATCGGTGCTTCGGTGCTTTGGAAGGATCGATCTCGGTGCTTCGATGCTTTGGAACCGATCATTGGTGATCTCATTAAAGAAAACGAAGGTGCCCTCCAGTCGTACAGGAGAATGAATCGAAACAACGTCTATTGGACCAGCAGTCTTCGTACTGCTTGAAGTTCTGATGAGAAGTCGCGCTGTTTTGGAACAACCATGTGGAAATTAGGACCACATTGTCTGTCTTCGTAGCAAGTGCACGCTCCAATCAAACTTCAAATACTCTCTTCGCAACCATGCAGGATCCGCATGGGGTGTTTAGTGATGTTGCGCGGACACCCCAAATCACCTCTAAGGGGCTATGCGTGGACATCCATTGGGAGGCCCTGATAAATAAATACATCAATAATCAATAAATAAATAGACTATATATATGAACATATAACATAGATAAATGTTCAGCCCCCCCCCAAGATCTCCCGACGACAATATACCTCCCTTCCAGATTTGTACATTCCCAGGAGGATCCCAGTCGACATTATCTCCTGGTCAAACGGATGCATGACTTGCTGAACGTTGTTATTGTTTAAACAATTTGTTGTTGACTGTTGGTTCTCAGGAGGTTGCATCGGACAAATGCAGAACATGTTTTTTTTGGTGTGTGTGTGTGTTTATTGATAATACATGAAAAGTTACATGAAACAAAACTCTAGGAAACAACATGTGTCCGGCAAAAACCAAAGATTATCCTCAGAGTTTTGTTTTGTTGCATTTTAGCTTTTGGCTTTGGAAATCTAGAAGAACACCAATTGACTATGGACAAAGGAAGTGATGACAAGCAATATAAACTACATTAACATGTATACAGTGTAATATACTTGAGTAGGTGTGCATAAACAAGACAAACATGAACAAACCAAATACATAATTATTATGTAAGTAACAGTCCAACAGTATGTTGGGGGGTTGTGGGGGGTGACCATGAAAATACATGTATATAATATTATGATATGTACAGTATGTAATATATAGTTTATCGTGCAAAGGTGCATATGGCACATCTCCCTGTTTGTGAAAGATTTCACCCAGTCCTTCACAGACCAAAAGCCTGGACCTGCGTGGACCTGGTGTTCTGGCTGGAGATCCACGTACCTAGTTTACCTGCGGATACTTTGTTCCTAAACTATGCAAACGGTGCAGGTGCTGATGACTTTAAGCAGTTCCTTCACTTGAGGATCTGACTCCACACCATGTGGACCTGACTCCACATCTTCTTCTCGACATCTTGTTGACCACTCCTTCTCGTCTCCACGGAGCACGGCGGAGCACGGCGGAGCACGGCGGAGCACGCCCGAACCGTGCCCAGGCACCGTGAATGCCCGAGTACATCCGCTCCGTGCCCAAGCGCTTGTAGCCGTGCTTCCTGAGCGGCGCGGCCCCGTGCCTTTCGCGCAAGTCGCGGCGTTGGGGCATCTCTTCAGGGCAGCTGACACTGGGGGTAGAGGGAAGACCCCATCCCGTTCTTATGGCCCTGTCCGCCCTGTCGTCTGGTGGCTGTTGTTTTGAATATACCCATATCCACTGCAGTGAAAGTCAGCTACTGCCTTGATTCCAGTTTGTTGGGCAAAAAGCTCTTCCATTCTGAAGGGTGGAGTTGAACTTTGCAGTGGTCCGCTTTTCGATGACAAGTAGACTGGGTGGCCAAAACTTGAGGAAGTATATTAGCAACAAACAACAACAAACGGATGGAGATAGGAGCAGTTGGAACAGATTGTATCAAAGAAGCCAAAAGATAAACACAACATAACACAACAAAAGATTCACAAATCAAACGTCACAAATAACGAAACGATTAAAAAAGGTGCACCTTACAGATCCTTCTCTTTTGAAATCGTCGAGTTATCATTTCCTACACGAGGAAAAGTTGCAGCATTGCCCTGCCATCGGGGACTCTACCATTCTGCGGAAAAAGAAACAAGCAAACAAAAGAATACAAGGTGCAGAAGCAGTGCATGGAATCCAGTTACCACTCTGGCTCGTCACCGCGAGATCCAAAATGACACACGTGGAGTCTCGGTTCGTAATACAAAAAACAATATTAAAAAGAGGTCAGTCAGACCAGGTTTGGACCTGGGTAAGACTGGAGGTACGCAGGGGATTGGCTTTTGTGTCATGAGATTATAGGTCATGTTCCTTGTTCTAAAGTACTTTGCCATTTATAACATATACCTGTAACCGAGAACCCAGACATATCTCCTTGTTGATAGGAAAACAACCACCTTTCGGGGGATAGTCGATCCTCCCCCAACTGACGGTCACTCAGGTTCTAGGTCTAGGTCTATGCCTGCAATATATATAATATCAAAATCCAGTTCGACTCCATTTGGCACCACCAAAGTGAATCGGACGGGAAGACCACCGGGTTTGTGGACCCGGCGCCAAAATTAGGTTCGACTCCTTACTCCACCCAGGGTGGCTTTCCCCGGGGCAGTCGAACAAGAGATTCTCAATGACTGACTCCCAATGCCGGAGATCACTGGAAACACATATATATATATATATATTATATAGGTATCAATCATGTACACAACCCTTTTTCCCATTCTTTCATGTCTAGCGGGAAAAGCAATTGCCAAAGAAGCTTCAGGTCTAAACTTATCCACTTTTCCTGGGTAAGTAGGTATTAAAGGCTATTCTACAGTAACTTATCTGTATATCTTATTACCAGGGCCCAGTGGATGATGACAGTTGGCAAAGGCCTTTCTCTACGTGATCATTTGATCATCGTTTATCAACTATTGCAGGCAGTGATGGGACAAACCCAATGATCGGCTCCTCCAGAGGGTGAATCCCAACTGATCGGCTTTCTGTTGTCAGACCAGGCCGCGGACCGCACCAGTGAAGCCTCTGGGCTTCACTGTTTCAGACCGGCTGGACGTCTCGCCCCGCTTCATGCGTCTTGCCCCACTGGTTGTGGGATGGATCGACGCAATCACTGCGCCCAAGTCGCTTCAGTGTCTGACCGAAATACTCCGCAGCCGTGGGGCCTGGGGCCAGGCAAACATCGAAAAATGACTGGTGCGACTTGTAAGGAATCAGGGTGGATGAATCCTGAGTTATCTACAGAAGTGCTTCATTCCCTTATTCCCTAAGCACAAGTCTGTCATTGAGGATTGAATCCTCCAATACTGTTCTTGACATCATGCATGCTTCAAACATGCTGCTAGAGCTACGCTGTCCCAACCAAAGTTCCGCGCACTGGCACCAATCACCAATGGTTGTGTGAACCTCCGAACTCACATGGTCAAGCCTTTGAACATCGGATTTCTCCTGATCATTCGAGCCATGAAACGAGTCTACGACGCCACGACGCTCGCCTGCAGTCTCCGGCTCTTCCTTCAGGAACGGCTCACCTTCCTCAGCACTGGGCAACGGCAACGCCTCACATTCTCTGTCCATGTGAGTTGCTGCCAGAAACCGGGCCAGGGCTGGGTGCGTGGTCTTGGTGCGCACGACGATATCGGTCACCGGTCACCGAACTATGGGACGTTCGGAGCCGTTAAACGGAAAAAGGTGACGGTTGCGAGCCTTCGTTTCTCAAAGAATTGAACATTAAAACACGAATGTGGATATATCCCAAGATGCTCATGGTTGATGTTTTGTTTTGGATATATCCCAGATGCTCCATGGGACTGGAAGATATGCCGATCAATTGGGGTGGTGGTTTGGGGGGGCTCCATGTATAGGCATATATTCCAGTCCCATGGAGTGTATGGGTATAGCATGTGTCATCCGTCCCGACCATGGAATCGGTCCATGTCAGGCGCATCGATTTGTGCCAAAGGCGTGCGGATCTCGCCACGTCTCTTCACTTGGCCATCTGCCACCGAGCTTCGTTGTCGCCGCTATTGTAGGACCCGACGTACCTGGGACACCAGACCTTCAGCTAGTGTGGGTCATTTCTCCGTTTAGCACCTCATGTACGATGTAAACCTCAAATCAACAGAATGATCTAGCCCCAATCCCTGTTATCCTTCTAACCCGAGCAAGCAAACGCCCTTTCCGAGCTCTAAGACAACAGGGTCTTCCTGCGACCCTTTTCTCATCGATAATGTTTTTTGTCTTGCGTACTCGAGAGACCTCCGGGAGCCCTAGAGAACCTCATCAGATGATTGCGCTCATGGTCTTCCATATCTAAGTATACTATATTATCCTCTGATGCTGACATCTCCCGTCCAGCTGAAGTCGTTGTGACTGTTCCGCTCGGTTCGCCCGGTGTGGCTGTGCGACACCCCGGATCGCCTGTAAGAAGATATTTATAGACGTACTCACCTGCTTTGGGTACATCGTATTCCAGTGTACACCAGGTGCTTCAAAGGCCCGCCGACACCGGTTTGGGACTACTCAGATTCTCTGGCCAAAACAAATCGCCCGGACGGGTTTGGCATGGACTCAGTTTTTTCCGGTTTGCCATGGAAAAACAATCGCCCGGAGAAAGCTCCCCAGGCCAGCCGGGTCAAGGAGAAGCCCCGGATGGACTGGAGGTATCCCTCAGCTAGCCTCTGATACCTAGGACAAAGAGCACTCCTTGGAGGGCCACCCTTCAAGCTGACTAGGCAGGCGTAGTTCCTTACAACCACTATTTTCTCTTGAAAAGAAGCTGTGGATGGTTGAGACCTATTGTTTGGGGAGCCCGTGACGTATAGGTTGACCGTTGCTCGCAACACGTCTATGGGCTGCTCTGACCTACTCCGGGGGCACTCTCGAAAGGTCGTGGCGTCCGCCGTCTTCTTCGCTTCCAGCGCCGCCGTCTTGCCTGACCGGGCTTTGACAGGTCTGTGAGGGGGTGAGGACGGGTCCTCCAGTGCCAGCCCTTGGAGGATCTGTCAACGATTGGCTCGTATCCAGATCCCAAACTAGTTATATATATTATATATATATATGTTTTTATGGATTGTCATCCCAGTTCAAGTTCATCATCCAATATATCATCCCAGTAGGTTAACCACCCACTTCTTTGGAGGTGATCATCCACTTGCTAGGGGAGAATATGTTTTTTCTGAGTTCGCGGGAATTGGGTGGCCTGCCTTCTGCCCTTTTGATACCAATGTCAGTTGAGAAGGGTGAGAAGGGTGAGCAGTAAGCTAGCTGGTCCCACCGAATTTGATCAAAACTCCCTAGTAAACTGTAACAGATTGCTCCTGATATCGGCCACTCGCACTGATTGAAACGGTCTGGTTGTCCCAGTGCTCATGTGCTTCTTCCACGGGAAAGATCAAGAAAGAAGATAGATGGACCTTGCTCACGGAAGGTGTGCAGATTTGGGCGTGTTTGCGGGTGGAATGATAAATAAGCTAAGCCACTCTTCGGACAAGGTAGAGACCTCTAGACGTGGAATTTACACCAAATAGATCCAAATAGCAACTCCTCTTCAAGAAGAGCACCCTGCGCGAGAGACAAAAAGGGAAAGAACACTTTCAGTCAGCCATCCACAGTTTCATATCGATACCTACAGTGTATCCAAGTGACTTCCTGAGACCAGAAAGTGGAACTCAAAAAGGGATATTCAGCTCAAGGATTCTCATTCTCCCTCCTGTGAAATCAATGGCACCCCTGAAAAATGTAGATCTGCAAGCCTGAACGGGGCACCAGAAACGCGAGTTTGCTTTTCGCCCAAAACGTCACAAACACACGCCCGGTAAACCGATCAAAACCGTGGTGCCCAAGCAGATTTGGATCGATCCACTGTCGGACCCTTTGGTCTAAAAAGGTTCTAGAAATATCTCTATGGGCCAAGACGGCCAAGGTCAAATCGCAAAAACTTCTGGTGCTTCCAGGCATTGTTTCAGGAACACGGTCGACCAACACCCGACTCTAGGGTCCTATAGTAGGGTCTAGTCTTTGAGCCACACACCGTCGCAGCTGGAAAACACGTACCGTCACGTGTTACACAGGTCGCTCGGCCTGCGATGCTCTCGATGAGCATCCCAATCGTCATGCGGGAGGGGAAGCCTCGAAATCGCCCGGATGGATCCGCAAGCTGAACAAAGCTAGTGAAATGCCAGTCATGCCCACCGTTGACGAATCACCCTCTGTAGTCAAAGTCAACATGAGTGGTTAAATCATGTCAAATACTGCAAAGTCTTGACGCTTTTGCACGCAAACCACTTCCTTCCCTTGGGGGGGAACGATGGTCCCAACATCGCCCCGGCCGTGTGGGTTGAAGAGGATGTCCGGCGTGAGGCCGCTCTCACTCCAGGGCATGTCCTGCGGACTTCGCGAAAGAAGGACTGGTGACTGATGGAGAATAGAATGCAAACATGCTCAAGTACCAGCACCTTCAAAGGGGTCACCAATGAAAGCCCCCACACTACTAAGGGACCTCCATTGGACACCCCTTGAAGGTCCAGGTATGTATGTTGACTGCATGGATGAAACGGTCCAAACATGTCAGGACATTATATATTATATATAAAATACCTAGAGCCTGACTGACCTCTGTTTTTATAGGAAAAGACCATATCTTGGATAGTTGATCCTCCCCATGGTTTTCCCATCTCCTCGGCCGGCCAAAGGATGCTCATGACCTCCCAGCTGAGGGAACGGCCGCGGGGTAGCCCCAGACCCTTCCCCCACTGAGCCTTGTTTCGAGGGTCCCGAAAGTCGAGGGTCCGGGAGACCATCGGTATACCCGGGGAAGGGCGGCGAAGTCGCGATGGATCCACAGACCTTCTCAGAAGAATTGGAGACTGATGTAGGCGCCTGGGGAGGTGGCCCAGTCATACCGAACCTGAGAAGGTATGTGGATCCATAAGGTTGGGGAAAGTCACCCGTCCAACTATAGTTTCGGGTGGATCTGGGCAAGATTCGGGACCGATGGATGTGCGGAATGCCTGGGACAACAACACGGCACCGATGGATGCGGCAGAGGAAATTCCAATTGAAACAATCTTCTGGGCCAATATGGTTAGGGGACTTGAACCTTGTCCATGATGGATTGTGGCCTGCTCTTGCTGGCAATCCCTAAACACATCTGGCCTTCCATTTGAAACAAAGCATCACAAAGCTGTGGTTTTGGAGATGCTGAGGCTGGTTCATGGTCCAAGAAACACTCTACAAGTCTATAGCTTATAACCTCAGTCCTTTGAAGTCCTATCCCGTGTCAGCTGTCTGTTGACCAGTTTCTCGCTGCACCTAGTTTCGCAAGTCAAGCAGCCTGTGCTATGAGCTACCCTGCTCGGAACAAGTGAGGTTGGCACAGGGAACCAGTGGACACGCATGACATGACCAAGTCATGATGGTGGAGGAGCAACCAATGTCTTTGGCCACTGTGGCTTTTGGGTAAAGCAACTTATATATATATATATATTCTGACTGGTGCGATTGATAGGGAATGAGGGAATGACCTCCAAATAGAGATTCCTTAGGCTGCATTCCCTCATTCCTTACTAAGCACCAGTCAGTATTGAGAGTCAATCGACAATATTGTCGCCATCACCCTAGTTCTTTTCTTTGCTTCCAAGGGTATCCAGCTACCCACATACAGCCAGTGGTTCTGGTTCGACTAGAATCATAGACCAAACGAGGGACCCCCGGTTCCTTATTGATTCCTTTACTCTCGTGGCTACAGCCCGGGAGGCTCTGGGTTTGGTTTAAAGCATCTCAACCTTGAACTGAACCAAGTTGCTCCTTTCTGTCCATGTCTGGAGGAGAACTTGTCACCCACCACAGGATTGCGCCTATAGCCTCAGATTGGAAAAGTTGTGAATCTGAGAGATGTGGACTCATCATATGGTAGGTTTGACCGGTTTTATGAAAAAATAACACCTGCATGAGGCCACATAAGATACTTGATTGCAGGAACCTTCAACATGATAATGCTTAGGCCAAACATCCGCATCCAGAACTCCAATCGCTGCATCTGCTCTGTGGTTCAAACGTGCGATGGGCCGATGGGTGGGCCGATCGGCAACCTGACTAGTTTCTCGTCATGCCTTCGATGATTTCTTCCATGTTCTTAGGATGATCCCATGCTGCTACAGACAGATGTCTAAGGCGTGTGCAGTAAAAAAAAAAAGGATGATCCCACATGGTTCTTCAAAATGGCCTTTTGATGTGGTTTGAGCTCACTTGGACCACTTAGAGCTGTAAAAGCTCACTGGATGGGCCGGGACTCCAAAAAACGCTCCAAAGTTCAGTCCCGCACTGAAGAAGCTGGAAAAAAAAAACTCGACTCAGAACATGCAAGAACCATGAACATCTCTCAGACTGGGTGGGTGTGCTGCGATCCCCCGTTGTCTCGCTTCCATGTGGCGCAGCTTCAGCAAGGCTCGCTTGCAGGGAAGTGAGCCAGCGATCTCGCTCCCGTCCAAACGCACCACCTTTTGCCGCTCCAACACCAAGTCCAGTGGTCATGTTCCATGAGGTCATGAGAGTCAAGAGCGATGGGTTACAGTTACCATGAGTCATGTCAAATTGTCAGGTTACTTAGTTCCAGCAGTCATGCCACCATGCCACATCACTCCAAATGCTGTTTTCATCAGCGCATCCCGGAACAAACATCGACCGGGTCCAGTGTGCGTCGAGCATGTGGCCTGCTCCACATAGCAAGGTTCATCATCCTTGTACCTGGGACGACTGCCCAAATCCCACACATGCGCTATTTCAAAGAAAGTATTTCCCTACAAACCCTAGGGATCCAAGTACCTTCTCAGAAGGTGATTGGAGGCACTGTTATGTAGGTTTGGAGGGTCCAAATACCCCTTGAGAAGGTACTTGGGAAAGTCACAGACCTCATTTTACTGGAGTTGGTCATACAAAAACACTATTTAAGGAGGTCAGTCAGACCAGGTTTTACTGGGTCAGACCGGACTTGCAGGGATTCAATTGCCTACATAGCCGTTGTTGTAGCTTGTGGTGTAGAATCTACTGCCCACCCTGACCAGGCTACATATTCTGGGAATTGGTGGGTAAAGGTTATGGAATCCACCCGGGTAACACCGCCATGGATGTACCGGAAACACCCCGCAGGTCATACTGCCAAACCGCCCATCCGCCCCAATTCTCCCAGAGGATTTGATTGATGCATATTGATGGATGCGGTGATTCATCAATCCAGAGGGTTTACAATCCAAATGAGGTGTTAATGGATCAAGAGTACATGTGAGCGATATCAAGAAGTGGTGTACCTTTGGAGCAACGGTCGACTTTCGAGACTCGGCACCAAGTTCACCCCAATGATGTAGACCTGTTTACATCTTAAACATGACTTAAAAAATAAGACATGTCAACTATTGTCAACTGTATGGAAATGAACAAGACTTGTTGGGCAGGATCTTATGAATCAACAGTCCACATGACCTCCGTTTCAAAAAAAATACTACGACCAAACCCTGGCAACCACCCTGCCAAGATTCGTTGTTTTGAAGCAGTTTTGAGGATGCCAAGGTTGCGTAGGCTGTTTCATTCCGGAAACATGATCGAAACAAAAAACCGGTCCTCCCGGAGGAGGAGGAGAAGGACGACCAGGAACCCCCCCTGAACCTTCAAGGGTCTATTCATGGACACCTCTTGCCTAGTTCTTCGGTCAGTGACAGAACTTGATATCACTGGGATCTCCTTCTTGGTCACATCCTGAAGGTCCAGGTGGGGGGTCCGTGGACAGACAAGCGAAAATGTGTCTTCGCTTTCGAGGTCTCCGGAGCTCCAGCTCTTGCCGGGCAGAGGGGCTTGGTGAGGGTGTGGCCTCCACGACCTGAGCGCTTCGAAAGGTCGGTGGGAGGGGCGACCTCTAAGGGCCTAGAGTATCTCCAACTTGAGGGATCTTGGACTTGGGAGACCCAAACTAGCTAGTAACTACCTGGAGCCTTCTTGTGACCCCTGGAGCTTGGAGGATCAACTATCCAAAATATGGTCTTTTCCTATCAAAACAGAGGTCAGTCAGGCTCTAGGTATATAGATCTATATGGCTAAATAGATTGCAGATGTCGATCCGGGTCATGGGGTTAATGTTGACACCACCCACTCGTCATGCGATAAAAGGTCGCAACCTATTGATCTCAGACGTTGAGAAGACCGATCAGTTTCTGATCCCTACATGGTGGCGCATTGCTATGGACATCTATGGGCTACATGAAAACCACCAAAAGCCACCAGTCATGTATATAGGTCATGATTTGCAGTTCCATTCCTCGCGTCTGAGTGGTGAGGTGGACGTCTTTTGGAGAGTCGACGTGGACGTTCCGTTGGAGCCTGGAGCTCTTCGCAAAACCTCGTTCTAGCGATCGGCAGCTAGGGAGGTGCCCGGAATCCTTGCTAGGGAGGTTATGCGGGGGTGGGTGGAAGATTTCCTTTGGACTGAGGAGAGGTTAAATTCTTGAGTTCCAACGAGGGACTCTCAGCGTTTTGCGGGATTACCCAGGGGTACTGGATCAATGTCTGTTGCATGTGGCGGACAAAAGCGACAGGTCTTAAATGGACAGCATACATCATAAACAACTCAGAAAAAATATAATAAACACTACATGCTGCACTCACTTCCAAAATCAACACTGACAGAAAGCCTGCTCCTTGACGATCTTCGATCTTTTGCGTCTAAAACCATGTCGGTGTCCATTCCTCCAAGAGGCAGTTCACCACGCAGTACAATGAGCAGCCTTCAGTGAGATAGGCACCGATGGGGGGAAAGCCTCGGTCGACCGGATCGGAGGAACGACGGAGACGGAGGAGCATCCAAGACCACCAATACCAGGACCCTCCGTTCGAGGTGTCTATGTCCATAGCCTCTTAGAGGTTAGGAGGTGTCCAAAAACCACCAGGCTTGGAAGGTCCTGGTATATGCCTGGCATTGACCCCTTAAAGGGCACCAGTCCCATGGTCTGGGTATTGAAGAACAGTGGATTGGGAGTTCCTTTTTTTTGCGATGTAGACGTGTCCAAGAAGACCGCCTCTACACCAGCAGATGGAGTTCACTCCACTTCCATCATGATCCCAGGGAGTGTATAAGAGAGACACTTAGTAAGACTTATACCAAGGGCTCCAACCATATCCTCAGAAGGTGCCCCCTGGCACCCACCCCAACCACCTTCGAAACGGAAGTAGGCCCGGAGCCCTAGGGTAAAATATTCACTGATAATCACTGTTGACATTGGTCTTTTGGACACCAACGCTACAAATGGTTGAAAATAACTCACACTCGCCAGCTATATTCCCACTGAGACGGCGCAGTGTGGTGCATGCGGATCTCACTACCTCAAAATAATTATCTCCATCACCCAAAACTCAGCGGGGGCACCAGTGGATCCCTGACAGTCGCTGTGCGCTCACCACTGTGCGGTCGACGAGAATTTGTCGACGATAGCGCTCGCAAGTTCACCCCACTCGGTGGATCACGAGTGCCCAGGTTCGCTCCGTGAAACCTCAACTGGTCCCGAACCAAACCCTACGTATAGGGATTGGTGAGAAGGTCCGGACCCCCACAGTCTACATTAGTTCATCGGACACCTAGACTTGCCATGACTTTCCCATGTCCAGGGCCCTGTGTATTAAAATGGGAACACCTCCCAGTTCGACCCCCTGGAAGGAAATAGACCAGTCTACAAAGCCAGGGCCAGGGGGTCCGTTCCGAGTTTAGCGGCCATCCGACTCCAAATCCGGAGCAATCTTGCACTGGGCCTGCGTCGGGGAGGAGGGCTGCCCGGCACCAGTGCCGGGCACGAAGGCAGTCAAACAGAATGAGACACATCCGTCGGGGGAAGCTTAAGGGTTTTTGTGGTTTTTAGTCCCATCCAGTGAGTGGATGTGACAGGGGCACCCCTATCCAAGTTCGGCACCACGACATAGAACTGCTGGATGATGTAAGAGTTTTGGTAATTAGTATATAGTAGCTTGTTCCCACAATGATCAGAACACATGTTGTCTGTTCCTTTTAGTGAAAGATCCTGATCCTTCCAGATTTGGTGCCTTCCAGGATTCAGTCCATGCCCATTGAACCCGAACATTCAACAACTTGACAGAATCTTCATGGATACACGGGATGTGAGAGATCTTAAGGCTCCATTGTCCTGCGATTAACTGGACACTGTACACTTGATAAACCTTACATGAGCGGTGGCATGTATTCCTAAACCCAAATATATTTCAAATACACTATCATACACTATCCATTATGTGGGGGTCCTATCTCGTTTAGACTACTTAAGTAGGAGGTCATGTCACGGTATCTCATTCAGACTAAATTAGTGTCATCAAACAAGTAATCTCGTCTATGTGGGGGCCTATCTTGTTCACCAGCGAATACTTACTGATGTTGGACAAACAAATAGAGACCTTTAGAGTAAAAAACATGAATAAAAGTGGCTGCTCATCTGTACTGTTCAAACAACTAAAGTGCCTGAAGAAAGCGACACACACACACACACACATGGTGTCAAGTACGGTCACCTCCACTGACAAACTGACCAAGCATAAGCTCAACCTCACTCCCCTCCACTAACCCATCAAACAGCACCACCACACGCCGTCGTGCCTTGCCTTCTCACTCCAATTGGAAAAATGATTTCCTCTTTGCCTCGGACGAGACACACGAGTGTTCGCGGCCCAAGTGTTCGAGCAACCAAGGATAAAGGCGCTTACAGTCACTTTGCTCAGGGAAAAAAACAACTCAAGGCTAAAGTCACTTACCTGACAGCTACAGCTGTGCATGACTATAGCAGGCGGGGAATTTGCTTCTCCTGTTGATTTGTTTGTTTTGAATGGATCTGTCATGCGTTGCTCCTTCTTCGCCTTATTGTCAGTCCAGGAAGCGGACCAGCTACAAATTGATCATGTAAGATCCAGTGCGGACCAGGGCTTTCTTGGCCTCCCTTTCTGTTTGTCCAGAGCGTGATGACGCCCCAGGTCCTCGCTCTCAAGCACTTGAGAGATCAGTGCCTTGAGCCGTCGGTCATCGGTGGACCGACCGACCCAGCAGACCCACCACGTGGACGAAGCGGGTTGGACCGAGATCAGGTCCCGCAGGTCCTGAGGATCTGGGGGGATCTGATTTTGCAGAGTGCCGTTCCTTGTCATGTCTATATAACAACGAGCAGTAACAACAACAACAACAACAACTACTACTACTACTACTACTACTACTACTACTACTACTACTAGTACTAGTACTAGTGTATAACTAGTACAAACACCAACACACCAGGACAAACCATTGATTGGCTGGTCCCATATTGGTGCCAAAAACCACCCATGGGGACGCGGCCTCCAACTTGGAAGTTGAGTAGATCCATGCGTGCGTCCACAATGAGATCGGCTGGAACAGCTCGAAGCGGACCACGGTCATCACCAGCTGAAGTCTCCAACGGACCCCGAAGCGGACGCCACGACACCGAAGCACCGTGCACGAACCGGGTCCGGTCCCGGTCCGGAAGGTGGAGCGCTTCGCGGGCCGAAGACTCGTTCGGTCGGTCGGTGGACCACCCTCTTTGGACCGAAGGAGCACTGAGTGCGGGTCGACCCGGAACCGGCCTCGCTGGATCGGTCCGACCTTTTGGGGTTCAAATCGACCGGAGGCCTTAGACTGCGAGACCTCAGAGTTTATAAGGATCGCATGGGCGAAGGTCAGTGGATGAAGAACATCGTCAAGCTTCTCGGCTCCCTTTAGCTGGTATGCTATATGACTGCATGGTCTACGTGTCCCTTTGGAAGCATAGGTCCCAAAAAGGTCGCCTCTTATGCAGCTATCAGCCAAAGCCCATTTCGTCCACGTGTTGAACATCTTCTTCTTCTTTCGATTTTAATCTTCGTTCTGCAAAAATGTGCTGTAGACCCTTTATCTTTTCATGTGTATATAGTTTCAAAACCCTTTTCACATCCTCGTTGCTCACAGGGACTGAACTTGACATCTGTAAATGTTTGTAAAGGAGCCACGAGGCCCAAAGCCTACGGCTGAGGAGAACGGCCTCCTAGGGCTTCTCGCCACCTACAACAGGTGGAGGAAGCGTCCATTAGGTGGCCCCCAAAGGCCACCAGCCTTGATCCCTTTCAGGCCTTTCGGTGTCTTGGCTTCGTTTTGGGAATAGCGCCATGGATGTTGGTGATGCGTTGAGGGCTGGGGATTCCATTTTGCTGGACCCTCTTAAATCTCAGATGAAGACGTTCACTCCATTGCTGGAGCCTTCTTTTCTGGTCCCCCTGGGAGAGAAGACAGTGGTGGTTGGTGAACTCCTCTCGGCACAGGATCAATGGCTTGATCTGTCAGCTTCTTTGTTCACCCCAGGTGGTGGATTTGGACCTGCTGATGGTAATGATACTGTGTTTCGCCTTTTTGTCCAAGGAATTTCCAAGAGATCTCTTTGTTTGCAGCCTGGAATGAGCTTGGCGTGTTGCGTTCTTTTTCAAAAGGATGAGCGTTCCACACCATATCACACTGGACAATGCGACTATCTCGTACAAACCTGATCTATTACCAGATATGCCTTGGAATGTGTTTCATTCCTTCGTGGATTCAAGAGCGCGAGAGGTAGTAAAAGATTGTAGTAAAGGGTTCCTGGACGGGACTCCAAAAAGGTCACATACTGAAGAAGCTGCTTGATGCAGAACTTCTATGAATCAACTGTCTACATGAATGTAGCCTGTTGATTTATTCATCAAAACACCACCTCATTTCGATTTATTTAGCCTGTTTGCATGGGGGTGTTGATGAATCAGCCACCTACATTCGCCCAAACTCAGCCGGGTCGCTCGTCCTGCGGGGCCTTCGAATCCTGAGCGGCACTCTGAGACGATGCTTCACCTCCCAAACATCAGGTCACTGCTTTCCGGCTTGAGCCGAGTGATTCACCCTTCCAACACCAAGGATGTTGAAGATCAAAACCTCTTGGGGCAAACAAAACATCGGCCAACTCCCAACCCCCCACTTTAAACACCGTCCCAGACACGAACTATGGCACTGGCATATTGAGCGAGAAATGGCCAGGGGTGGTTGAAGAGGGGTCAATGTAGTGTAGGTCAACACTACAGTCCCGGCGGAGTGTCTGGGACAATACCACAAACCCACACCCGTTGGGCGTCACACCCTGAGCGGAGGTTGGGCGTCCCCATGGGTCGCTGAATGGCGATCGTTCGCTCTTTTTCGACACTAAACCTCGTCGCGACAACGAACACGACTAGTCGCTCCGGCGAGCCCTCGATGTTCGCTCCCCCGTCGGCCCCGCCCGGGTCCAAATGTTTTGTACCTGGATTGAGTATCCCTAGGGATCCGTTTTCGTACCGAACCTCAGGTGAGGAAGGAGACACTGTGATGTAGGTGCCAGGAGGGTCCAGTCGTACCTTCTGAGAAGGTACGACTGGATCCCTAGGGTATTGAATCTTTTTGAGAAACAATATATATATATATAGAGATCGATAGAAATGAATACGACATAGTGACATAGTATGACACAATGGGTGTTGAACACTGGGGTGTCTAGGAAAACCAGGTGCAGGGGTGGTCCATGAAGCACCCCGACCATGGTTCCTGGTATGTGAAGAGTCATCCCAAAGTGCCAGAAAATGGTCTCAGTGAGATGTCGGTAGTTTGTTCGATATGTCTTGCGCTGTGCTGTCTGCACTCCTTCGGGTGGCGAAGAAGTGCTACTCCCGTGGAATCCTGAAGGATTGTAGAGCTGTGCTTAAGCTTGTATAGGCAAATCATGGCAAATCAACCCACACATTGCTTTAATGCAATCCGTATACCCTTCTTATGGCCCCACCTCCCGGCTTCCTCCTTCGCCTCCTTCCCTCGGCTCGAGAGCCCTCCAACAACCCACGGTGTGCCTTACTCGCCCGCCTTTCGTGCGTCCCAGGCGCCGCTGCGTCGAGGACCTTGGTCTTGTAGACGATGCCGTGTCCGAAGCCGCGCTCGTAGGATTGCTTGTTGATGATCCTCAAAGCGCCGTCCGCGCTCGTTCGGAGGGAGAGAGCCGGTGAACCACGAGCCGGTGGTGAGAGCCTCGATACAATGCGCCAGTAGGACTCTGAATCCAGGCATCTTCCGGATCCACTCAGAATGAATTCTTCAAACACTTCAAGCAACCGGCATATTTACTAGTACCAGCTAGCTGTCTAGCTGTTGGCTTGGGAAACCAACTCCCTGAAGAATCCTAAAGGTTGCTCCGAGTGACCCGGCTCCCTGTTGCGCTGGGGACTGAGACTGGATACCCCGAGAGCAACCGCTGCCAGGCGATCGCGACCGCCGGACTCGCTCGAGAGCGAGCGGTCTTCGCAGCAGCTGTATAACATGTAGTAAGGCTGGACCAATTCGTAAGGAGGTCCACCTAGCAGGGTTAAGGGCTCCAGTTAGAACCACGTCGTAGGTCTCAGTCCCATGGAGTGGATGTGAAGAACCGTTGTACTCCGAGTCCACGCTTTTTGAGCACCCCAAGTCCTGTCTTTTTCCTGTGGATCTTCGGATCGTACTTCAGCTGATGTAGACTCTTGATGACTCTTGAGGATATAACTAGTTCAATCCCCGAAGCCTGGGAAGGTTTGACCCGTCCATGCCTGTTCATGTTAAAGACGAGTCTATAGGTGGTTTCTATTGGACCCTGATCTGGGTCTGGGTCAATGGCACCGTGCACCCCCGGCTTGAACAACTGAGTGGATCACACCCATGGCACCGTGCACCGCCCATGGCATCATCAAGACCCCGGCAGCATGTGGCGCTCCAGGTTTTGACCCACAGCCATCTACATGGTACCTGGACCTTCAAGGGGTGTCCTGTCTGGAGGCCAGCCAGGTGACCTCTTTGAAGGTGCTGGTAGGTTCGTTTTTTGTTGGTCTATTTACCGTATTCTAAATGAACGACCATCCGGGAGCTTGGAAGGGACCTCTTTGGAGTCTTTAAGTGACCCATTTCGGGGACTAAGTGATCTCATGTTCGGATCTCAATAGGTCACTTGGAAGGAGCTGGATTCTTTCGCTGCTATGGCTGTACCCCTCTGTATTCTGTATGGCACTTGATGAATTTGCAGACTTGTTCACCAGTTTCCAAAGGCTTCTGTATTCTGTTCCCGACAAAGAATAACAATAAACAGTTCTTTCTGAACCTGGCCTCTTTAGAGTTCCAGAATGAGACTCTAAGAGTCTATATACAAGAGTCTATAGACCCTATAGTGAATAAACGCAGAACAAATCAGGTGGTGAACAACAACAACAACAACAACAACAACATAGGCCTTCAAAACCCCATCTTCCACCGGTTTCAGCACCAAGATGCATGGCATCCTCCATGTCGTAGCCTCGCAAAGGTCTCCGCAACGCCCAGAATCACGATGACCGCGGCTCATTTCCCAGTAGAGCGGCAACATTTACAGTTTAGCGGTGGATTCTGAATGGGGGACCCCCATTCTCTAAATGCGAATTAACACCTTAAACATGAAATGCAACCATCCTGGAGTAGATAGAATATGAACCACTGCAAAACAGCGGCCTAGTTTTATATCTAGATAATAATCAATATTACTCCCGGATGACAATAGTGTAGATTCATAGATCCCTACCAGGACCTTTCCAGGTGACAATCCCTGAAAAGTCAAAAACATGTCAACTTCATCCTCCATTGAGAAATGCCCAGCTTTGACTGATGCCCTCTTTTTTGGCAGGCATGCAGCATGCACCCCCATGTAACAAACCCAAGCGGTTGGACATACTTAAAGACCACTACATAGACTTTTGAATAGCCCCTCCATCTCCATGGTTTTACCTCTCCCTGTGAAGATGTTCTGAATCACTGGTCTACATGAGTCACTGGACTACCAACTGAACATCGACCACCCAAAGTATAGAGACCCTTCGAGACCGGGCCCCCCGCGCCGCGCACCGCACGCACGGAGGCGCTCGCGCTGCACTGGCGCGCAAGGCGAGAAAGCGACGCCTGTGTAGGTGATCACGGCCACGACCGCGTTGGTGCCGATGGGGTGCTCGTCGCAATGCACTTGGTCGTACCTCGCGGATGCCCCGCCACGAGGTAGGCTCGAAGAGGAAGGCGAAAGAAGGAATGCGCTCAAACAGCCGGTGGGTCGGCAGGAAGAGGGCCAAAAGAGGCTTTGGATGGTTTTAAGGATTTGTTTTGGTATACGTTGATCTTTGATTGTTGAAAGATTTAGAATGACCACAGCTATGCAGCCAGACTTGCCGATATCGGAAGCGAAAGGTGTTGATTGAAGGGCTGCTCCTTGTGGTGCTCCATTGGTGTGCACTGTCCGGGACTGTGGAAGTCCTAAAATTGAGCTTGGATTCAGGGGGCTAGCAGTGGGCAGAGAACAAACAGAGACAGCAACAACAAGTACAAGTTTGAACCAACTGGCTAGCATTAGATCCGCATGGAAGCGAAAAAGCAAAAGGAGATGAGAGGTGATCAGATTCTAACTGCACACAAAAAACATCACTTTCATAAGATGTGGTTGTGCGCATGATGCTGATGATATGGTTTCATCAAATTTGTTAGCCCACCGAAATGCCTTAAACAAATAAATGTAACTGCTCCCAATTTCAAAAAAATAAACATGGCAATCACACATGACAAGAAATGAAATGGTTGGAACGGCCTAACAATCAAATGATGACTGCACCAATCACAGCAAGTGCAAGCGATTCGAGCACGCTGGCAACGACGCTCTACAGGATTGTAAGGTTTTTGATGCGATGCCTAAAGATAGTGCATGTTCTGCTGGTAAAGTTGGTTGATTCATTTACGCGATCCGTGCTTGTTTTAACAGCCGCTCGCAAGAAAGTCACCCAAGGTGTCGCTATGTTGATTCAACTGCGGCTCCTGCATATTCTAACTGCATGCGAGTTCCAAGTGCTATTTTTACAAGGTCCGCCTCGGTGAATTAGATCCTATAATGCATGTTTTTTCATTGATTTTATAACTGTTGGTCCAATACTTTACAGTACATCTTAAAAAGGGTTGGGTAGCAAGGCTTGACCACGACAAAATCCAAGACCCTGGTTTTTCCAGTTTTGGAGCAGAAACACACCGTGCCCCTGGAGACGATTTGCTCTCTGGACCAACAGGCAAAGGCCAAAACTGTGGACACTTTTAGCTGCCTCAATCTGGGGCCAGGTGTGGGGGAAAGGGCAGGGCAAACCAGAGCTGTAAATAACCAGGGCTGCAGAAGGTCTCCACCTGGCCCTTCAGAACCAAAAACTCAATCGCCCAAGGGCACCCAATTGACCGACGAAACTTTCGGTCAGTTGCAAGGTTTGCATTGGTCAGTTGCAAGGTTTGGTGTCGTGCATCGTGGCTGCCTGCGCATCGCTCAGTCCCAGCAGCGCCTTGGATTTCGGGTCTTTTACATGGCGAGGAAGTTGTTCTACCAGTGACTCTTCCAAAAAGGTGCGCCGGGTGTTGGCAGCAGCTCGTCACAGCGGGCGCGTTCGGTGTTGCCAGCAGCTCCTCAAAGCCTGTGCAAGGTGTTAGCAGAACTCCATCGAACCAAGGAAGCTTGCTGTCTAAAAGCAGCCAACAACACCTATTCACTCCGCGCGATGAGTGGGAACTGTTCTTAGCGGTTGCCTTGTTTTGGACCGGGCCAGTGCATCTTGCAGCGATTAGGCCGTCTTCGGTGACAAGCAGAATCAGTGAGACTCTGTCATTGAGAGGATGTGATATAAGGTGTGAGGGGGGGGAGGACCACGACGAACCCCACGTTCTGTTTCAGAGAAGGCCAGAAGACGGAGACTTCGAAGACTAGGAAAGCTCGGGGCGCAACAAATTGTCGCCAGGCTTTCTGAAAATGCGGTCCGTGGAATCAAACCAGGAAGGCAGGTGAAGGATTGGAGAATGAATGTAGGAACGAGCCTTACGGGAGGTACTACCCTGATGTATTGTCAGCGAAGCCACTGAGAATAAACATGAACACAACGCTTCCAAGCGGAAACTACTTCAGATTCTGTTGTTGTTCATTCGCGTTCCAAGAAGAAAGGCTGCAAACCCAACATGTCTAGACTCGACCTAACATGTCAGGGACAGCGCTGACAAAAAGTCAGATGCATCATGCTGAAATTTACAAGGCACCGGTGCTGGAATCCAGCCACCAAGTTTCGAGGAGACCGTGTCACCCTCCACGGGGCTACCAGGCACACCTCTGCTAGCTTTCTGCTGTTTAAAAAGGGTTCTGCAGAGCCGACCCCATGGAACATGTAGCTCTACAAATTCAACAGCGCAGGGCGAGGGATGCAAGTGAACATGTAGCTCTAGAAATTCAACAGCGCAGGGCGCAGGGATGCAAATTGTTTTTTGAAAGCACTATTGCCATTGCCATTAAGAGGAAGGCCTGGTCAAGGTAGCCTTGGAATTTGGTTCTGCAATTTGTTTGCACGGTTAGTAAAAGTGGAGGACAAACCTGAGGGTGTTGCAAAAGAATCCGGCCACAAAACCGTGGTGTTACCAGGTTCAATTCATGAAGCCAATGAGGGGCAGCCATCAGCATCAGCGTGCGAAACTCCAGCAAACGAAGCGGTGGTGTCACCTCGAGCTACAAGCATGTCTGACATTGAAAGCGGGCGGGGCATCAGAATCAAAGAACAACGCTGTTTTACCCGCCAAAAATCTTGTGCGCAATGCTGCCCCTTCTCCTTTGCCACTGGGCTTGTGGACAGACAAGGTGCCCCACAAACAGAAGGAATTACTTTGTTGATCCGGTGGTGTTCCCCCCGCAATGGCCATTGCCATGGCAGCAACCCTCCGACCAAGACAGATCAATATGATCAATATGTCAGTCGAAACGCCGGGGTCTTATATTATGGTTGTATATGTCACTTGTTTGTGGGTACATGGTCTGTAGACTTCATTTGGTTTTAGAATTCCGTTGGAAGATGATGGTGGTGGTGGTGGTGGTGGTGGTGGTGGTGGTGGTGGTGGTGGTGCACGTAGGGTGCTTTTTGGAGCGAGCAAACCTATCACTTTTGGAAACTGTCGATATAATATATAGTTACAACGCAAATACCAATCTCAACATATCGTGTATAATCGTACCGTTCTCAACATATATCTACTACGCAAATCATGGCCTAAACCAAATCTACCACGCAACTCCTACTTGTATGTTGGACTCGCTGATGGGTCCGTTGTGGGAATGTTGTTCGGACCACGTCTGAATTAAAAGGCTTCGGATTCGGCGCCACTTTTCTTCATCCGCGGAACACAAAATGGAGCATCCGCATGGCCGTCCAACTTGACCCTCTCATAGAGGGTCTGTGTCCTGCCTATGGGCCGGAAGGCTGCATGGCACCCCCCTACTTGGAAAAAGGAATGGCGAGTAAGAGCCACACGACCGCTCTTCGTCCCACTCTTAATGGTGCACCTGAACCCCCCGCGGTCGACCGGCCCATGGAGACCTGGGACTTTTGCAAGTCGCGTCCTTCGGAAGTCGGAAGCTTCGCCAACTCCTCCACAAAGTTCACCATCAAGATGTCGTCACAATCCAAGGTATCTCTTGGTCACTTACCCAAGTCTTGGTAAGTTGGGCGGCATCTCCTGGTCAAACCTTTGCTCCTCCTGCTGTGAAAGTGCGCCAGCCACCCAGTAGCCTTTGCGCAGCTCCTCGACCGACCACAGAGGTCGTGCCTGCTGACCCATCAAAAGAGCAGAATGCATTCTTCCCCTTGAACAAACACATCCACCGATCCACAGACCTACCCACAGTCCACCCTCTAATGACAGCGCTTCACCCCTTCCAACAAAAATCCCAACACGACCTCCTCAAAACCGAACATCCCTCCAATTCACCGTGTCTTTCCAGGTTTCCCACCACCGATTTCAACCCTTTTCACACCCCACCCTCCGCGGGAAAAACCGGTTACCCACCCTCCGGATGTTCACCGGCTCCGCGCGTGCGACGGCGGCGCGGAAGGCACATCTGGGTTCGCACCAATGGGCTCTGAGGGCAATAGATGCGGAAGACCTTGTTATCCGGGCGGAACCTCGGGAACCCCGGTTCCGGCGGAGTTCATCCGAGGCGGGCGGTCCAAGCGGCGGGAACACCTTGGGTTACTATATCATTAATTATATGGTTAACATGTTTCTGTTCGTTTCAATCACATTACATGGATATATATATATATAACAACATAACAATAATGATCATATAACTTATAATCACAAACAATTAGACCATCCAATGAATGGATGTTGATATGGAATATGGTGATATGGGATGGTTTGGGCATGTTTGGGCATAAAGTCCACATCCATCAAGCGTGTAAGCCGTTTGCCTTAGCGTATGTGCGTACGTGGTTGATGAGGCCTCCGGTGCGAACACGTCCAAAGCAGCAAGCCTTGCGTACGCGCGTGTTTCTGCCCGTGGAGAACATGGGAACATCCCCATCACCTCCTATCAAATGGAGCTTTATCCATTTGGGCATATATGGCTCAAGACAGGGGACCTGACCGTGGCTGAGCATAGAAAATGAACACGACAGACTACTAGGGAGGTCAACCTACCGGGTTTTGACCCACTGCTATATTTAAAATCCACCTTGCAGTTAGAAGGAATGGACTCGGACCCTTGTGCCAAGATCACATATGCCCAACTGATGCAAAAGCACCGTTCAACTCTGTAGGATCTTCCACCCAGTTGCCGCGTCAGATCGTTTGCCGCCAAGGCGCTCGTGATTGTGGTAAGGCGTAGCCATTGTCTGCTTCAACATCTGACACCTAGACACGGCCCGCCATGGGTCGATATATATATATATATACATATATAGAGAGAGAGAGAGAGAGTCATGAGGGTGTCTATGAAACACCCAGGTCTAGTGGGCCCTGGTATAGAGGCCCTGACACCCAGACCTCTGTCTATCTTCAGCCTCCCTACGACACCACCAAGGCGCTGATACATATTTCGAGGACTCTGGTTGTGGTTCGAGAAGGGCGTCAAAGCTGCCAGGGTGGAAAAGAGTTCCTCATCGCGCGTGCGAAATGGTCGACAATTCAGCGGCGTTGAGCTTTGCTTTGGACTTGGGCGCCAGAAGCTCAGGTGTGTGTGTGTGTGTGTAGAGCACCAACAATAAAAAATATACTTTGAGTTTGATGAAACTGTGGGCTTGTCACATCACGATCACCCACTACAGGTTCGCCCACGAGTATCATCGCACATGCTGCTAGCTATACCTACCTTTTGAGAAAGAAAAACAGCGTGGAAGCTGGGAGGAGGTTCTTGAATTCTTAGCAATAATTTTCCATGGTAAGACCTCCATGGGGGCATCTCGTCTCTGAATTGATTGAAGGACGTGCACGTCTTTTGTGCGTAGGATTATACCACTGACATGAAGCGTAGGACACGGGACTCGAGGGCTGAGCAAAAGCACTGAACGAGAAGCAAAAAGGACACACAAAAAGCAACTATAGTTGAAGACTTCAGTCTCTCAGCGTCGTTATCGGAAAGCTTCCTTTTTCCGGAATGTGGGTTGGACAGAGCTTGCATTTGCTTGCAGCATCAATCTATAGGACGGTCAACTAATATCATATATACTACTTTCACCATACATTGGGTAGTTGAGGATCCAAAGGCCACAGAGCTTTCCTAGAGGGGACCTGTAGTCACATGTTAAGTCCCTGTAGTCCCTGTAGTCCCTTGGACAAAAAGGATCAACAAAAGGACTAAGACTAAGACTATATATAATATATACCAGGACCCCCAACGGGCTTCTATTGATAGCCCCTTAGAGGTTAAGGGGTGTCCATTAACCACCCCTTGTGGGTCCCGGTATACTGAAACGCAATTTACAATTATGGTATATTCCTTCTATCTCGGCGGCTGGGTGATGAAGAAATGCTGAAGTAGCACCTACATAGCAACCATCGGAAGGCACTGGCTGAAACTGCTCTGTTTCTTGAACAAAAAATACTGTATTTTGATATAGAAAGGAACATCGCCCAAATCTCGCACCACTTCTTGATTTGACCAAATTGTAGACAGGGATCGGTTGAAGAAGCAAACCTCGGATGATGGGGACCCTGCACAACCTGTTGAAACAGCAATTTCATCTTCTCAGGATGGCAAATGAATCTCTAAAGGCTCTGCGTACCCCACCGGTAGCTGGCCATGGACCTCGGCAAAAATTGCATCCAGTTTCTGTGGGCTCCAGCTCCTCGTGAGTAAAGCCTGAAAGGCCAAGCCAAGACGCGTTCGACCGGTACGGTGCGAACCATAGTGGTTGAAAGGAAACCACCAACCACTCCTGAGTTTTCTCCCCACCTGTTGGTTTCTCCCCACAAAGAGGGTGGGTTCTCAGGTTCTGCATTTCTCCACGCACCTGAAACAATTGAAAAACATGTTGTCACGTCTTTCTATACCTGATGTTCCAATGACCTCTATAATTGCAAACAAATACTTAGAAAATCAACTTTTCCAAAATGAAACACCCTTTATTTAGAACATCGAGCTTAGAACATCCAGTGCAAGCACTCTTAGAACATGGACCGCAAGCACTCAGAGAACGAGAGACAACAGCCCACTTAGAACATCATATGTACATACATACCAGGACCCACAAAGGGTGGTTAATGGACACCCCAAATCACCTCTAAGGGGCTATCAATAGAAGCCCCTTCAAGGGTCCTGGTATGTGTGTCTGTGGGTGTTTTCTCCATCGCTCTTAGGTTGGAGGCAATCGCTCTAAGGCTCCACAGTTATTATGTGCAAAGGCAACTTGCATAAGAGGCTGTTCATCTCTTCTGGAAGCATCACCTCATACAAGTTTAGAATAGTTCAGACGCGAACATGCTTTCCAAAACCATCCCAATGTCCAAACAATATCAACATATGCTGAGTGTATATGTTGGACTATGTTCTTAGTGTATTTGCGAGGGCCTGGGATGTTCGAACTCCAGGGTGTTTCAACCTCTGCCAACGACAATAGAACCTCCCGACCGAAAAACACTTAGAACGTCTCGCCGGTGAACAACTGGTTTGCAACATATGTTCTAAGTGTATGTCTAACAGTATAAACTGACAACCTAAACAACCTAAATATGCCTAAATGTTATTGAGCATTTGGGGAGACTCACACACACCGAAAAAAGGCGACTCGTACTTAATGTAGACTGATCAGTCAACCCCTACCAGAAATATCAAATGGTCTCAATGAGGTTGGCCACAGGTTTGTGTCGTCTCTTTGGAAGTGGCCAGCCCCGTAGAACCAGACCCTTCCGCTTTGCCACGCAAGGCGAGCCACGCAAGGGCAGCTGCTCTGGAAGTTCATCGGCTCCTGCAACCGCGAGCCACGCGAGGATGCGGAGCCGATTTCGGCCTTGCGGAGATGGAGACCAAGTGCCATGCAAAAAATCCTCGAGATCACCTCCGAGAGTTGCAGATATACCTTCCAGCACCTTCATGTCGGGGTCACCTGGCTGGAAGCCCCAGCCCACTACTAAGGGACCTCCAGACACGACACCCCTTCAAGGTCCAGGTTGATGTTTCCTTCTTTTTTTGGGTGGGTAACCCAATGTTCAAGTGATGTTTTCTGGAAGTTGGGAGTCGGTTGGCACATGTTAGCACTGCATGGAAGTGATGAGCTACTCTCGAAGAGTTTCATGGTTTGGTCAAGTTTCCTAGAGTCGATTTGCTCTTGGTCAAATAAGGTCGAACACAGTGGGGAATGCAAAAGCAGCATATAGGAACTTGCGCCACCAAGAATCGTGCAGGATGCAGACTCTATAGGCCCTAATCAACCAACATAATATATATATATATAGTGCTTGATATATAATTGGTTTGTGTTTTTTTGTCATTTGAGTCCATGTGATCTTTGGCCGGAAAGTCTTTTCAGCTTCACCCACCAACACGAAGTCAAATGCTCCCCCAACAAGCAATGTTCCATTCGTTGCTTGCAGCCTCGCACAACCCGGTTGACAACCTCCTTTTTTTGCTCCAAACCCTGTAGCAAGGGCATTGCTATAGTATAACAAGAAGCCACTATAGTAACAAGTGCATCGCTTCTTATTACTAGTGATGCCCACACGGCCCAGCCGTTTCTTTGCGGTCGCCTTCGTCGAGGATCTGCTCGGCGGTGGCCTTCTCCGAGCGGAGCACGGAGACGTTCAGGAAGAGCCTCGGAGCACCGGCGCGGCGCAGACTGGGGTGAGGTCGCGACGCGGCGCGACGCGGCGAAAGCGTGCGGACCCAAAGCAGCCACGGGTGGACCCAAACCCACCCGGGCGTTTTTTCCAATGCGGACGGACAAGCATGTGATCGATGAGGCCCTGCTGTGTGATCCTACAAGAGTCTTTGAACCGTGTCCTGCAAGAATGCCTTACAAGAGTGTCCTAAATTGCGCACCGCATCAGTGTTCTTTAAGAGGCCTAGAAGAGTGCCCCAAGGGTGTCTCAAGAGCGCCCCACATGTTCCCACAGTCTGCTACAAGAATGTCTCACAAGAGTGCCAAGAATGTCCTACAAGATTGTCCAGAAAAGTGTACCAAGAGTGACCTAGAAGAGTGTCCTACAAGAGTGTTCGACATGTGTGCGTGGCAGAAAGACTGTCCTTTCAGGAGAGTGTTGCACAACAGTCCAGTGTCGAACAAAAGTGCTGCACAAACATGTCCTACAAGAGTATCCTGGAAGAGTGTCACCCAAAATCCTGCAAGTGGGTTTCGGGTTCTTTTCCCAGATCGACTTTGGGATGCATCTAAAAACAAACATGTTTGTTGATATTTGATGCAATCATGGCAACAATTGGGGTGCAGAAAACTGATTCTGGTGTCACCCTACTTTCGTGATCACTGGGAATCATTCGACACCCAGAACGGATCTCAAGTCTCCCACAACCTCTTCCGGGCGGCTGCTCCATAGGGCCGATCCATTCCTGATGCGAGGCGATGCGCGTTTTGATGCACGCGTTGAACCGCCAGGCAAGCTTGCGGTGGTCCTCCAAAGTCTATATGATGTTAAATGCTTTTCCCACACAGTTGAGAGGTCGAAATGCAACGATGTAGATAGATTTGGCCTTTGAATGCGTTGCTGCATTATGCCTCATAGTTCATATTTAATGTCCCTTTAGTGAAATCTGTAAGAATTTCACGCTTGGGAGCGGATTTCAAGTCTGAAGCGTCTTCTTGTGGTTTTCGCATGTTTTCGCAACACCCAGCTCTGTACAGCAAGGTTCCCCGCAAGGGATCAGGACCCCATCAGGACAACGAGAAGACTTTTGGCAGTTCAAACTGATCTAAGGGGACTGATGTTTTGGGGGTAGCAGACTAATAAAAGCATATTATGAAAGCAATGCTGTTGCATTGATGTGATTCCATCATTGGACTGGATACTGTTGAACGGTTGGAGATTATAACAACATCTTAGGATAGGGGCGGCCATCCCTCACCCATCTCAGACCTCCATGGTTCGTGATTTCCGAAGAACTCAGACCTCCATGTCCCACTCTTTCGTCACCCAGTTGCGATCTTCTGGGTGCGTAGCTGTCGTACAGGGCGGATCAAACGGCCAGGAGCCAAGAAGATGAAGAGACCGGTGAAGAGTTTTCCTGAGTTCCCAGGATCCCCCAAGCCGTGGCCATGGAAAATCGGACCAACTGTCCACTCCTACCCGTTCTTGTTGAGTGGGGTATTCCCTGCCCGCGTACTTAGCAAGATTCAGTGCACTTGAAAACAACACCCTGTCCACTACTTGCACTGGAACCTGAGATTCCAGCTCAACTTCCGGATCTCCCATATCATTTGGATACGGATCCGGGCTAGCACTCTGTGGCTCAGTTCTTGAACTCCTCTCCGACATATCCTGCTAACGTGTCCCACCACAGACTCATAAGCTTTGTAACGGTAGACTAGTGGACTCATTGGACAGGAACAAGACGTGTATAGTATTGGACGGGTAAACGTATATTTGACGGGAATTTCCAGGTAGAACAAAATCGTCACCCGGGGCTTTTCTTCTAGAAGCCCTGCTGGTTTGAGAAGATCTAAATCCCTTGAGGGAGCAGCAGGTGCAATTCCTCTAGGACTCTAGGATTGACACACCCTTTGACCCGCGCAGGTATCTCACTACCTCTGACATGGCCGCATGTTCCCATTTGTCACCGTATGACAGGCTTTGAAAGTGGGAAGATGCAACGCAATACAGCCAACATGGCTACAATCCGTGCATGTCCAATGACTTTTGTGCTTTTATTTTTTTCTGAAAAACATGTAGTACACAGGAATTTGTGAAGCACAATTATTTGATAGTTTGAGGTTGCAGGGATTCACGTAATCCTCCGATTTTTTCAGGTCCACGTTCAGGTGAGGAGCTCTCCTCATAGTATGAAGACCCTGAAAACAATGGACAACATGAGACAATGACAAACTGGGTGATGAGGGTGATGTCCAGATTCCGAATGTCCAACGGATTTACAAACTTGGTGTCGCAGTAAGCTCCGACAACACCCCTGCCTGAAGCAACTTGTGTTGCTCCATGAAAGTTACACGATGTCATGTATATGACATCACTGAAGGTTCAAGATGTTCAACATACAGTTAACAAAAAAACTGTATTATAGTATAATATATACTACCCTACACCTCCATGTACCTCCTCAGAAGGTATTTGGACCCTCCTGACACCCGCCCCCAAACACCTTCTCAGAAGGTACGACTGGAGGCCTATATAGGGCTATATATACACCGTAGATCCATTTAAGTGTCAACATTATATAGATCCACCGCCCACCGCCCAGCTCGCTGCGTCGCCGCATCGAACACAGCCGAGCGTCCCCAGCCGCGGGTCACCAAGACGATCTCCGCCGTGCTGGGAATCCCTGGAGGCCATCGCTACTAGTAGGGTGGAGGCCATCGCTTCTATTAGCCTCCCCGAAAAGGCTTAACTCCAGACACTCCATGACACTCCATATATAATTACATTGACCCCCACACACTCACTCGCGAACTGTCCAACGGTCCGCCCCTCTAAGCCCTTCCACAAAGTGGGGTGCTAGAAGGTAAACAAGTATGTACACATCGAAAATATCCTCGTGAGAAGAAAAGCTCACCTATGTACAAACACACAGGAGACCAAAATCACTCACTGTGAATTACTAATTAAGAAATTGACAGGCCACTCAGGTTTCGTACGAAATATGCTCAAGCGATTGGTGATTACGTATGCATTTCTTGATTCTCTGATACAAACCACTGCGAAACTTAAATGGAATATCTGCAAATGGAGACTGCATAATTTCATCCTTATGCACCAATGGCATTGGCAAGCGAACGTGGTGTGGATAGCTTTGCGCAGGTAAGGACGAATAGTCGCGCAATACTGAGAGCAATTTCTCTGCATTAGGAAGAACTGGACGTTTTGCAATCCCCCCAACAAGACTCTTATGAAAGCCAAGGCGAACAAGTGAGGAAGCCCCAGATTTTTTATATTTGGGTATCAAGGGCATAGGCAAAGTGTTGTCCAAATATCTTACAACAGCTCTGAGCGTGTTAGCTCGATTCCACAGACTTTTAGCGTCATCTTTTTGAATGTCAACTTCTGGCGAATTAAACGCATAGGGAGTGGGGAGGCGGTCTTTTTTGCTATAAATCCAAACCGGAAGAGCTACCCCAGTGTACAACATGAATCCAATAGCAAGCTCATACCACGTAATTCCCCAGTCGCCCTCTAGCGCAGGAAGGTCTGGTGGATGCCAATGAATTTCCCTGAAAAAGGACCATACCAAAAAGGCAGTGGACGCTCCAGCAGGGCACGCTTGGGCAACCACCTGGACTAATGGACAATCAAACTTCCAACAAGCATTTCCTAATTTCCAGTTTTGCAAATGTTGCTGGTATTGAGAGACAGCATCCAAGGTATTATGCGCATGGTTTGCTGCCTCTTCCCGCTCTTTTTCAATTTTCAGCTGACTGTGCAACGCATTCAGATCTGCCAAATACGCGTATATATAAGAAAGTGCTTTTTGTTGTTTTTCACTATGTTCGAAAATCGCATCTGCGGCAAGCAGAAGTGGCTCAAGGTCTCGTTTGTTAACCATCTTGGCGGTCTCATCGGCCACCGTATTACCTAAGATGGTATAAAGGTCGGCAACACCAGAAGCATCCTCTAATTGTCGATGAGATTTAACCTTAAAGACTTGGTGCAGTTTAGGATTCCACTGTTGTTGCAAAATTGAGACTAAGTCTGCATGTGCCATCTGAAAGAGCTTGAGAGACAATGTACCATCAGAGATAGCCTCTAGAATTTTTTGAACAAAACTAGAGTCTGTATAAATGGAAAGAAATTCATCTGGCAGGTTACGGGCGAAGTGATTGACTAACCAACTAACAGACTCCAGTTCACCCCGATTAATGGATTGCAAACCACATGTATGCGAGGTTTGTAGACAACAAAATGATCAAGCGATGGACTAACTGGATCATGATTAATTTGTTGCACAATGGCCCAAGCCGCCCGACAACAGTTTTGGTTGCGGGGACGGTCACATGTACCATCCGTAAAGAAAACATAATGATCTGTTGGACGGATATCGGGCTCATCCAGAAATGGGCCAACTCGGCACCATTTAAGTCGGTTATAGACTATTTGTTGAGAGTGAGTTGTAGCCAAGGGAAAATACAACAAATTTGAATATGTCGTGAGCAATTGCACTGCCTCAGGATGCGATTGTCGGACATGTTCGAATGAAGGACAATGCAATTGACGGTGCGAGTGCGTGTCTTGTTGGCCAGAAAATTCACACTCATGTGATTGACTATTATCCCAAATTGCCTTAACAGCCCCTGTTTGATAACCACCAGTAAGGTCCAACGCAATCAAACGGAGTGTATGATCTGAAAGCTTCCGAAGAACTTTATGCTGGACATAGGCATCAAAAGGAAGCGGAGTTACTCCTTTACGGTGGGAAATTTGCGTGTGAAGAAATGTGGACCATGCCATACGGAGTTGCACGCGGATTTCACGTGTAGACTGCACTTTTACTTGATGACCCCTCGGCATTTCTACGATTCCATCTGGTTTTGGGACACAAGAGACCCTTTTTAGGTACCCCGATAGTGCTCCACAGGGGACACAGAGGATGTAAGGACTCGGTCCCACATGTCATTTGCAAGAGCAGGATGGTACTGGAATAATCTGCGGAGGCTACGCAAGGCTGTGGAAATGACAAAGAGTAGTGGATCGTCAACTTTAGGTGACAGGATATGCAAGGCCAAGAAGGACGAGGCGAATTTATGGTGCCCTACAAGGGCCTCCGTGGCTTGTCTTCTAAGTCTGGTGAAATGAGCTTCGCCTATCAATTGGCTCTCGGCCCCATAGAAAGCTAACGGCCAAACTGCAGTTTGGATTTTACTTGCTTTGTCATGGACGGAAATATGGTGTTTACTTAACCTCATAAGACGTCTACCAGCCCCTTTCATGCGTTCTTTGAAACAGCCTAACGTGATCTTACGTGTATATTGCATCATACATCCGAGATCTTTAGACGCTTGTTTCACTTCTATCACAGTCTGCTGGTCTGGAAAAAGACACTCCGTTTGCTTCCAAAAGAGTCGCATTTCTTTCGACATTCCCCATCCCCATGACTTTTTTAGATCCACTTTCATTTGCAGGGCTTGTGCAAAATTAAGTGTACTAGTGAATGCGCGAAAAAGGGATCTCTGCGAATTGGACATAAATGTCCAGTTATCAGCGTATGTGAAGGGGGTAACTCGACACAATGACATTCGATGAAAGTACACTGCTGCAATGGCCAGCATGGCACACACCGATAAAGCATCACCTTCCGGAGCTCCCGTAGTGGAAGGCACAGGCTTACTACAAAACCCTTTGATCTGGAGAGTACGTTCCATATGGTTTAGCGACCGGATCCAGAAGCCAATGATGCTTAAGGGGACACCCATATGCACCAAGAGACGTTTTGCCATCTGACGTGGTATCAGGTTGAAAGCCTTTACTAGGTCCAGGGTGAAGCCGCCTTGGGGGATATTCGAATTATGTGCTTGCTCCAGAAGGAATTGCTGTTGGATTGTAATATCCTTAACTGACCTGAATGGCAACCCCCCCGCAATCTTTGGGTCCCAAGTCTTTCCCCACGCCGCAAGGCATTGGTCAGCAATAAGTTTAGACGAAAGTCTCGGGATGTATCCAAGGATTGTGATGGGTCGCCCATCTGAAAAGGAATTGGGATGGGCAGTCTTGGCAAGCAAAATAACCCTGGCTAGCATCTGAGATTTATCATAGGCCAGGGGCCACACTTCTGTAAATAAGGCTGCAAGATCAACAATGGCCGAAAAGGGAAGCAATTTGAGTTCTTGTGCCCTCCAGCCATCGGCCCCTGGTGCCTTGTATGATTTCATCTTATCGATAGTTTCCTTTATAAAATGTGGATTATCGCAAGAAACTCGAATTGGCGGCTGAGTTGGAATATTAGTTAGAATTTCTTCTAATGCATCTGTCCATTCCGACTCATCACGTGCGGCAGTCTCTGTCTCACGCCCCCACATTGGCATCCAATAGTTAAAGAAATGTTTAGATAGTTGGTCAATATCTTCCGAGTACTGTGCCTGTTGAAGTTGACCTCTGGTCGGAATATCAGTGGCCGTTGTGGTTATCTGAAGTAATCGACCTTCTTGTATCTGAATTTGGATCTCAATTTGCGCAAAAAGAGCCTTGCCAGGTCGAAATACAACGTCGTCTGTTAACAAAAGCCGTGTTCTACCTTTAGACACTCGAATTCGTTTGGCTTCAGAGATTACCGCGCACGGAAGACCAGGAATAAGTTTTTGTTCGGGATCTCTTAGTGACTGAAAGATTAGTGATCCGTTTTTGTCTTTTTGATCAAGTGATATCTGATGCTTTCGTGATAATCTACGCATTTTTTCCTCTTGACGAACCGTGATGTTTGCATCATATTTCGTGATTTGAACGAACATGTCCAAGTAGGACAAGTCAGGGACACAACTTGGCATAGCCAACACATGCTCAAAGCTAAGAGCCCATTTTTCCCAGGATCGGCCGTAACCTTGGGCATGACGAATGCGAGTCCATTCTTGCTGGAGGTGGTAGCGAGTGGAATCAGGAATTTCTTTCCATGTGTGATACACTGACAAGTTCCGGTGTAGCTGTCGATATAATGATGTTAAACGTCGTGTTTGTCTGATCTTTAAACATGATTTCAAAGAGGAAGGCTCACCCATAGGGTTGTAATCTCCAGATGGATCATGCGAAACCGACCGCGGGGGTGTTGGCTGAACAAACTTTGGGGTCTTACACCTGCCCCAAAACTTAGGAGGGAGATGTTTCTGAGGGTAGCGCATAGGATCTGTAGAGTGCATGATCTGAAGGGTAGAATTAACTGCTTGTTCCACCGTTCTAGACCACAACTCAAACTTACGCGCAGGAGTAGCAGTGGAAGTGGTGTGCGAATGCAATTGATTTCGCAACGCATGATCGCAATATTGTTTATGAAGAATCGTAGAATCTAACGGGAAGACTGACCAGTCTTCTGGCATAAACAGTTGCAAAGCATCGTGCCTGTTTTGGGAGATAGAGAATTTTACGTAAATTGGAGAGTGATCTGCGAAAATATGTTCCGGTCCAACCCACATATCAACAACACACTTTGCCAGCAATGGGTGGAATATGAATGAGTCAAACTTAGTAGCATTACGACAAGTCGGCGGCAATGTCTTTCCAAGGTTATTTTCAGCGAATTGAAAGCCTTCAACACAGTTAAGGTGTTCAAATGCCAACCATGCAGTTAAATTCTGAATACGTTGGTTGAAGTCACCTGCCACGATGAAGGGCATCCCAGACTTAGCGAGGAAGTCATAGACCATGGTAAGGAGTGTATTATTTTTAACCTGAGCCTCTGTGGTACGGCCAGGGAAAAAGTACACACAGACAAAGATGACTTCAATATCCCCCAGGGTACAGACACACGAATTAAATCGACAGGAATGCCAAAGAACATCAGTCTCTCCAATGCGGTGGGCACGACTGGGAAGGCGACACATAATAGCTGTACCACATGCTTCTCCTCTTCTAGATAGACCATGATGGACAGCAGATAAGTTTTTAACTTTGTCATCCACCGGACATCCCCACCAGATCCTATAGGGGGAGAAACGGATAGAATTAGCAAATTCCTGTTGTATAACTGGAGTCGCCGACGTTTCCGAAAGTGCAATCACATCGGCATCCAGAGCCAAAATCACGTCCTTTTTGCTCGTGACTGCTGTCGGGTTGATGTGACAAATTGTCAACTGGCTAGAGGGACCTGGATTTGACGCCTCACCTACACGTGTCGCTTTTAACCGATCATACTCCATCTGTCTTGCAGGTATAATTATGTTTCGACTCACAAATAAACACAAAACAAATGGCATCACATTGTCCCTCAGCCATTGAGGATAAACGAATTTGCCTTGGATCCGATCTTGATGACCCCGCCAAAAGCCATTTCGAATCCGACGAAGGGTAAGCGCACATTGGTTGGTGAAAAGTCTCTGACAGGTCTTGCAAAATGAACAAACATTTGAATGGCAATTACACATCTCATGTCGCCAACGTGCTTCCTTCTTTCTGTGAAACCAAAAGTAGTGAAGAGCTCGGAAATTGGTGGGACTATCTACATGGGCTCATCTGGCTCGGACTTTGCAGGACTTTCCAGCATTGGGCGCTTGGACGAGCCCTTGGCTTGACTTAGCACGAATCCCTGCAGCTTCAAAATTGAAGCGTTCATGGATTCGCTAATTTTGGTCTCAGTCTTCGCAAGGGTCGATTCTAAAGTTGTTTGGTACTTAGTCTCCATACCTTGCAGATCATTGCGAACCTCTTCTTTGAAAGCCTTTACATCCTTGGTAATCGATGCTTTCCACTTGGTGTCATTCTCATCTTTCTGGGCGAAGCGATCCTCTAGGCTTTTGAGCTTATCGCGAATCGAAACAATTTCTGCTTGCTGCTTAGACGAGGCAAAGGATCCATGAGAAGGCGCAGTGTATCCACTTTTATCTGCCGAGGATGAGGAGGCTGTGCTTGCATTCGAAGACGGCAACCACTTGGCCCAAGGATCGTCCACTTGCAAAATATCTTCGTCAAAAAGGTCAGAATTGGTCCCACCTCGGGGTTGCTTTTGCTGACCCGCGACAACTGTTGGCCTTGATCGATCAAGCCAAGATTGGATTGGCACTAGAAGAATTGAATTCTGACCCCACGTATAAAAGGCACGCTCTTGGCGAGCCACAGTTGAGATCATCCACGTCGATGGATTGAGTAGCCGCACAGGTTTTCCATTGATATTCTGAGTGGCCAGCCATTTTCGGACATTGTCGCTTGTTGCACCTGTAGGCACCGGTGAGATTTTGGCGAGATAGTGGGTTACCACTACCGCCGGAATTGGCTTTCCAGAGTGCATCGTGGCAAAAGCTTCTGCAAAATGATCAGCATGGACACGGATTCCCCAATGGGTCGCCTTTCCGGTCGATCGTGCGAGCCCCAAGTGTTTTGGGATTGTTTCTGTCATTGATTTCACCTGCAACCAAGTAGCGTCTGGATGCCGATCACCGCATATTGCTCGTCAGCCCGGTTGAGGGTTTCGGAATTGGGGGTGACATATGCACCCTCCATCCCGCTTCTGGCCAGAATCAAATTCAATGCCGACATGCGAATCCGTGTATGATACTGAAATGAGATTGCAAATTCTGCTTCACAAGCTCTGTCGAGGTCGCGAAAAACACGCCCCCAAGGGGGTGTTGCATAATGCTCTGATGGTGTGATGGATAAAAGTTGTGCTGCAATCTTTGCTGGCGACTTCACAAGCTGATCCCAGGTGTCAATGGAGACCTCTGATTTCCAAACCGTGACAGCTGCTAAACATGATGCCTCCACATGCACGTCAGATTCACTTTTGGACGCCAAGCAAATTAAGTTAGTGCCAATCTGGTGCAAACATCCTCTGAGGACAACCTTAGCTTTAGAATTATCTTCTGCAGGAATTTGAATTGGACAACATTTAGACCCTTGAATGTTGCATGAATGGCCAAGCACGCAGAGGGCAAGGCCCTTTGGCTTCAATTTGACGGATGTAAGGGCTGAAGATCCAACTCATTTTGTTGTTCACATACCGTCGCATCACAAATCCAATATCGAAAGCTGGCCTCAGCTTCCAAACTGGCCACGCGCGCTTCCAAGTGCGGGATCTGCTCCATGGACATACATGGAGTGTTTGGGTAAGGTTATCCACTTCGGGCAGGGCGTGTTCTGACGAGCGAAGGCGAGGGCCCGGCGCGGATGGCCCGGCGCGGAAAACCGCACCAAACCGGACTTTGACCTCCCAGGGATCGGTTCATTCGTCGGATCAACCAGGGTTCGAATGCTTTTTGACCCACAGCCACCTGTGTCTCGAATGCTTAGCTTGGTTAATTGAGCTTGCTACGGCGCCTGCCAGTCAGGCTGAGGCTCAAGCGAAGTTGCTTTGGCGCGATCGACATGTTTTTGTTGTCCCTGAGCTTGTTGGCGGATCAAATGGTTTCAGGGGCTAGGGGTCATCGAACGAGGTAAACGAGTGAAGAGAAAGCCTCTTGAAGATAGGAAGAACTTGTGACGCAAAGGACAGGCAACAAACAAAGGTCGATCTGCCCATACGAAATACACTCCCTGAAACAAGCATGGAAGTGGAACATAGGGAAGACATGGGAAGACCATGTTCCTCAACGAGGCTACATTGTCAGCTTCCATGATTGTTGGAGGGAGGGTAGGCCTCCATACACGATCCACACAAAACTTCAATGCAGACTATTGCAAATACCTCTGAATTCTATGTAAAAGTACAATATAGTAAAAGCAAATTTTGCATCGGGGAGGGGAGGGTATTCAATTAAGTATGTATAGACTGATACCGACACCCAATACTGCGTCTATCGATTAAACAAGTTTGCCATCGTTTGGCTCATCTCACAGGTGAAAACATACAACCATGTTCGTTTGCTGGTGTCCGAAGTGTCCACTGAAGAAACTTCTGCCAAGGTGCCTTGCTTTTCCTTGGCAAGGCGAAGCTTGGGCTTTGGTGCTGTTTGTTGCGCTCAAGACTTGCTCTAAATGTCAACAAAGAAAGGACGTTTCCATGCAGAATGCTACGGGCTCTTACCTGCAAAAGATTTCACCTCACATACCGCAAAGGGGTCGGACGGTCCTTCCATTACATTTGGGGTCCTGCTTTCAACGTGAACAAAGCGCACTCTTCGGGAGTGCGACTTCTCCACAGGCTCCCAAAATACGCCCCTGCGGATCCAGGCAAACCACTATAGCCTATAGCTGGTCACTCAGCGGTTCAGACTAAAACCCGACCAAACAAAGGCCTCTGCTTCACCACTCGTGAACCGGGTCAAGATCCCGACGTGTCGAGTCCGTCCGCTTCCTTCTGCGTCTGCATCGGAGCATCTTCGATCTTCATCGCTCGCAGCTTCTCGGCTGCGAAGTGAAGCCGTGTCCTGCAACCAGTCGTGTTCGCCGCAGGGTTCGCCGTGCATGTCCGTGGGAATGGGAATGGGGGCGCATCGTCGTGTGAAAAGCATCTTTTAAATAGAAACATAGAATAAACAAACAAGCACATGTTGACTCAATTGATCCATGTGGCGCCTTGCATTCTCACTATGAAGCTGATCTATGCCATTTCTTCAGGGTTTCCTTGCGTCACGGACTGAACGCTCTTCGTGTCTTTTGGACCTCCAAGCCACTCCTAACGCGCTGTTCTTCCTGTTTCTTCTCCAGCTTTGCTGCTGAGGAAGCTGGAAGGAAAACGAATCGAACTCGATCTTTGAAGTATACGGCTGTACTGAGTAATCTCTTGAACAACCATTGGTCTTTAGATATGAGAACATGTGAGAAAACCTCTGACCAAACAAAGAACTCTACTTATGGAAGTGACTCCAAATGGGTGTGTCGAGCAACATGGTACCCCAACCAGGGCCTATGTTGCACTTCCATGTTAGTGGGTCAGAGTGCAAGCCAAGTTTTACCGCATATATGCAGCGCAGTAATGGAAGCGTAAACATCATGTACAAATGGCATGACCTTGACAGGGGTCCCCTCCAAATTGAGGCTCCTAACTACCTTAATAATCCTCCCGTGGATCGAGAGTAGGCACAATCCCCAAAGGGAGTTTTGTACGGGGCCCACATCAACAAGACATCTTGGGGTCCCAGTGCCATCTACCTGGACCCTCTGTATCCGTACCCTGTTCCGAGCCATGCACGGAAAATGACTCCAGGTACTCTGAAACCACTCCCTACAAGTCCACTTCGACCTCATTTTATTGGAGCTGGTCATAGAAAAACCATCGTGCGGGAGGTCCCTGAGGCCCCAGGTGACCTGGGTCAGACCGGTCAGAACTGGACGGACGCAAACCCTCCCATCCGTCGCCCCGGACGGGTCCGTTCCATGAAGGCGACCGGTCGCCCGTCGACCATGACCCAGGCATGGCGCGTGCGGGTCTCGGGCGGAGCGACGCCCTCTTTCCAGAGCTGCGCGCCCAGGGTGCAAAGCACCTGCCAAGGGGCGGGCGAAGGTGGGTTTGGGTGTCAAACAGGTGTCAGCTGGTTGGAAGATGTTGGAAGTATGATAAATTAGGCTGGTATGGAAGTGCTAAAGCTTCAGCTCATCGACCCCCACGGAAAAGTATCAGAAGGGTGATGTAGTGGTGAGGGGCCTGTTGCTATCGCATGCCGATCATGCCAAACAACCTGTTGCTATCGCATGCGCAGAATGGCTGGCATGCACGAGTTTGGTGCGCTGACCTGGCCTCAACGACTGCGTGGACGTCTTCTTCCTGCAGTGGCAACACCACCTGCCAGCGCAAGGCGAAGCAACAGTGGAGTCTTTCACACGAGCTCAGCCTCCCACGATAAAGGAAACACACCTTTGGCTAAGCCTGGCTGAGTGTGCACCAGGAGGAAGCGGCGCAGGAAAGAAAGAAAGGTCGATTGGGTCGGATTCCCACATATCCAACAGTTGAAGGACTGCCCCTTTGGCCCAGCTTCCACATTTCTGCTCACAGGTTGAGGTCTTGAGAGATTTTCCTAAAAGCCCCAAGATTGCCCCTGATCTAGACCTAGACCTCCCCCAAGAATGAATAGCATCCACTCAAAACCTTGGGACATCTTGGGATTGTCATATTGACAGAACATGCAATATGGATATGTTTGTGCATCAAGAACATACAGTGGGAAGATTGCATCTCTACAAGTCTACAACTCAGGACCATATTTCCCTGCATGAATCCTCCAAAGTACTCCAGAAGTGGGAACGGTTTATATGCTAAGTTTAACATACACCAGGACCTTCAAAGTGACATTTGCAAATCTCAGAATGAGGTCACTTAAGACCCTAAAGAGGCCAAACAAAAACAGAGACTCCAGAGAGGTCACGAACGGCTCAGGTCCTGGCAAGTGAACAGCACGGTATGTGTTCTAATTCTTTTTCTACCTGGAGGGCCGTACAGTATGTTCCATGCCACCAAGAGAGGTCTATTTACTCCCCGAGCTTCATCCACCCATCTGCCCAGGCGCGGGTTTACAGCTGTGTGCCAGGTGGTTCAACAGCCCACAAGGCGAGCCGTCCGGTGTGTGCACTGGGCATAAGAACCCCCATGTCTCTGGCAGAAGCTTTCGCACTGTGGTTGTCTTCCTCAGTCCGAGGGCGAAGCTGGGCGAAGTGGATATCGATCGACTGAAAAAGACAGGATGTTTGTTGCACCGTGTTGCACCTAGCAAAGAACATAAACCACTAGTAAACACTACAAGAACCGGTAACTACTCCGGTGGATTGGTCGAACATGATTGAACTCAACAGATCCAAACAGCACAGCGCTATGCTGCACTGTGCGAACTCAGAACTCACTCAAGTGGTTTCTTCCAAACCCGACGGTGCTGCGGAAGGAATTCAACAGAAAGAACCCCGTCATCTTGGTGGGTTGAGCGAGGATTCAACAAGCTCGCTACTCATGGAGTAGCCAAGCTGGGATAGAAAAGAAACGCCAAGTTTGCACGGCATACATAAATTTACCTTACGCCAAACGCTCCAAACAGCCCTTGCTCCCACTAGTCAGTATGGGATTCAAGACCCAACCCGAGGCTAGGCAAGTCGGCGGGTCGATGAGTGCGTCACTCGCAGTGATATCACAGGGGTCCTTTGCCACCAATTCACCAGGCAGGACCTGAGCCGGACCTCGTGACCGACTGAGATCGACCCGACAGAGGCCACGACAGACAAAGACCTCCAGGCCACGAGGTCACGAGGCCACGAACGGCTCAGGCTCAGGTCCCGGTGTTGTGCATGGTTTTTTGTGTTTTTCCCACAAAAAGGCTGCGACTTGACAGGGGGCCGGATGCATTACGAAAAGTCGGGAGCGGCTACACTGAGTCCAAGAAGGGCGCCCAGCTCCTTGAAAACGTTCATTCAAAACAAGAAGAGTGGTCACATATAGCACCCTCGCAACCACCTCTTGCAACATCTATGTTGGCATCTTGTCTAATGTCTGTTCGAACCTGCCAATGCTGATACAGTCTCCAAAAAAAGTCAGGAATCACTATATCACAAACTCCATTCCAAGGCCAACCCAATTAGTGTGGATCCCATCCTCAGTGATTGGTCGACTCATCCCCGTGCCCACCAACCTGGATGGATGGAGTGATCCATTGACCTGGATTGACCCGGAATGGTCTCCTGGTGCCATCGAGAGTAGTGCGCCAGGACATCCAAACCCAGCTTCCTCAGTAATTAGACATGACCTTTATGCCATCGGACTCCTCACTCAGTGACCTTTTTGTAGGACAAACAGGTCATATAGACCTGTGAAGCCCAGGTCTAAGGAGAGGCCCACCAAACCGGTCCACCAACGGTGGGTCACCCTTCTTCCATGTGCGTCACCTCCCTGTCATGGCCAGACCACATTTCCGAGAAGTACTGCCCACGATGCACGGCGGCAAAGTGTGAGCTATAGCGCGCCTGTCTCAGGTGCGGTCGTCCTTTTCGGGGAGACAAATTTGGACAAATCCGGGCCAGGTACCATATGTTCCCTATAGGTTTAAAGTTAAAGACCTCATTTTACTGGAGTTGGTCATATATAAAAACACTCAATATTGAGATTAAGGACCAGGTTTTACTGGGTCTTTGTTTTACCAGGCTAGAGGAAAAGGTCACTTTGAATAACCAGGGGGGCCAGGTTTCCTGTATCCGACATGGTTGTACACTGGGGGTCTCCCCTCTATATGTTTGATCGTTCGACTTTCAACCAATCAATGGCTAAAGGCCATGTACAGCCAAAATTCATGTAACTGTGGCCCACAAGCAACATTTGGTGACTTGGTTCGTGTACATGTCGCTGGAGTCTCAGCTCAGCAGAAAATGGGTCCGAAGTACCGTAATGTCACTACCTGTGTCTTGTAATGGTCATGTCCCATTCTCTAAAGCATTCTAAAGCACTTAAGATTTGGAGGGTCCAGGTATATGTCTACCATTTTGTAACCTGCACACAGACCACCGGACTCGTCTATGCATGACTCACTTCCAGGCGTGCGTAGACACCGACCGCCGACCTATACGAACAGATCCCTGGACAACATCTTCAGCCTCTTCCAACCTGAGCTCTACACTCCCAACGACCGGACTTTAACATCTACCACTTTGCCCTATACACGGCCTGGTTCAGCTTGTCGGCGACCACGGTGAAGCCCGAGACTTGCATCAGATCCAGACCGCTTCTGGAGGTCCTGAGAGCGCCAGGCCAGCGTGACTCGGCGTCGGGGCGACGGCGTTCCCGGCCCGAAGGACGTGTGGGTTGCCGTCCCATCCGCCGACTTGAAGGGCTGTTTGTGACGACAGAAACCCCTTGAAAAAGCAGGGGGCCAGGTACCTTCTATCTGACATGGTTGTAGACTTGGGGGTATCCCCTGCAGGAGTTGGAGCCAACTTTAAACAACTGTTTACACTAAGTGATCGGTTCATTTGGATTGACCAGGGCGTTGCTAGTCCTCATACCCAACTGAAACAAAATCCCAGGATCGCCCAGGATTCTCCAAGAAAGTCATGGGAATCTCACTCTACACGCAACCAGGGAAACTTCCCCATACAGGTCAGTTGGATCTCAAGAGCGAACATGTCTTCAGGAGCAGGTTTGGATGGTCAACGTGGATGTGATTGAGGAGCCGGGAAGAAGTAAAACACCTTTCCCAGAAGGGGTTGCACGATGTTGCACGTGTCTCACGGAACGGAGAAAGCTTTGAGAAAGCATCACAAAAAGCATCTGTCATTCGGTTTGATCTCTGAGGCTCTGTTGGAATGGGATGAACAAGACCCCAAGTCAGCTCTCTTTACAGGTCGAAAGCCTTTTCAGGAAGACTCTGATTTAGATACGGGCTCCTTTGGGGTTGTTTTGGTCTTTGGAACCTGTACATGCTATGAGCAGTTGTAGCTGGATCCACTGGCTTTGGGAAACCTCCCAATCTTTTGTACAGAACATCGCCTTCGCATGCAGACGCCCTACTGGGGGGCGGGCTGCCGACGAAAACCGACCAACTCAATTCATCCAAGCTGCACATTGCCCGTCGACAAAAAGTTTTCAACGCGCTTTTGCACCTCCATGCAGCTTTTGATTGCCTTCCTTAGACCACCCGTGCGGCTTCCACCACCAATCTGAGAGTCTACGTAATATCCCAAACACTCCATGATACTCCATGTATGGAATATTCACATACATTCGGGTCATTGGTGATTTCAGGGGTGCATTATAGATCACACAATTTGCCAAGAGAAAGTGTGACCCACTCCGTACACCCCCAATAAAATCAGATAAGTCCAGGTAAAACCGAACCAAAAGCAGCCATGTTCCAGGTAAAACCGAACACACTCATCGGTCCGTCGGTCAAACTGAATCCTTCGTTGGAGCCGAGGCGCCGTAGTTGGCCATGATTATCAGCGCCCTGCCGGTCTGCCCAAGCCACGGAAAGCACCAGGGCTTTGGCTACATGGACTATGGGGATTGGTGGTGGGACGAAATACTATATAACTTATTTTAATTATTACATGCGTATCATGCGTCCACTCTCTTGATGTCACTTGAGGTAAAACTGATATAGTTGTAGGATTGAACCGACCCAGATGATGTGCCCCCCTTGAACCAAACCAACTTATTGACCTCAGCAGTGCCCCCGAACAACCCAACGATGACCCGATCGAAGAATCCGACACCAGAC